TCCTTTGCTGGATCAATGGGGTGCGGAGATTAATCAAACGGCCATGGGACCGGACATTGGCGGCATGGACATGCTTGATATCCTGCTGAATATGGGCGGGCCGCCGGGCAGCGCTTAATCGATGGATTTGAGGTTAGGATTGCGGAAGGTGTGATGCGCTCTGCATTGAGGAAAAATATGAGCTTGTTTGTTGGACAAGTTTTAAACGATGGCGATATGGAAGGAAAACTCTGGAGATTAGATGGTCGTTTGAATCTCCGGCTGATAGATCGCGGAAGAGATCGTTGTACAAGTGATACCCAGCCTGTAGGCTGCGGATGCAGTCCGCTTTCGTGTTGACTTTGTTAAGGCGTCCTACCAATCGAGTATGTAGGATTCAATAATGAGAAAAGCACGGCGTTTGCTTTACTTGATACGAAAAAGTTTGTTCTTCTGAAACGACTCAAGTGGGTACATGGTACGAACAGCGTCACATATTTCCAACGCGATATAGGCAATTTTCTTCGGCCAACCAGACTCCATCATTCTTTGTTTGTCAGTTCTTTCTTTCCGTCGACAAACACACTGGTCGGCTATACACCAAGAGCGTCTTCACCATATTCTCGGACAGCATGTGAAGGTCAATACATTCTTCCTCAACATACGAGAATGCCTCAACGAAACCAAAAACCATCGAACAATTGCCATGTGATTTTGATCAGAACCAAGGTTGTGTCCGCATGAGGCTGTTGCGAGTGAAGAGTCGGCCAGCCCCCGATGGTCAACAAGCACTTCGTTAGATTCTGAGACAAGCCCACTTAGATATGTCTGTTGTAAAGAACTGCTGTGTGGCATTGGAGCTCATTATCATTGAATTTTCTCTACCATATCCTCTAGTTTCTTTCTTTGGTTTCACACTTTCCGTCTCATATACTCCACAGCGAGACTATCTCTTCAATGTCTTCTGCTTCTCGGCATCAACGACCACCTTGTCACCCGCAACCCGAAGTCCCTTCCTCCTCCTGACCTTATCCACGTATCTCTTGGCGACGTTCTCTCGATCGGCCAGCTCACCCAAATCCTCAAGCTCATCTTCGGTAAACGGGACCCAGAAGGGATCTTCATCCAGCATCTCAAAACCAGCGAACCTCAACTGCGGGCTCGCGGAACCGGAACTGCGCTTCCGGATCTCGTCGCTGAAGCCAAAGGACTCGGCAACGGGAAGAAGTGCGCTGATGGTAAAGGTCTGCGAGCCAGTGGTTGAAGCAGAGGAAGTAGAGGATAGCGTTTCAGAAAGAATAGTTCCACGGCGGCGCGTTAAAACGGCGTAGACACGGCCGAGAACGTCGGTAGAAGCTTGAATTTCGCAGCTGTACATTGCCAGAAGCATACGAGGTGACCAGTCTAGGAAGCCTTGGTGAATGGAGGAACGTACGGCCTTGATGACTTCACCAGTCAAGCGACCGCGATCTTGTGCGCTCTCATCGTCGGGGATGTTGAGGATGACGTCCTCGAGAAAGACGGCGATGCCTTGAACAGGCTCGGCACAGCAGGGACCTTGCGCGGTAGCGAGCTGGAAGGCATAGGAGATTGTAGAGGAGAAGGTGCGTGCGGATATAGTGCGGTCGGAGGTATGGTCCGCGTCAACATCTGGAGAAGATGACTCGCGGAGTCTGCAAAGGATTAGCTGTGAATGGAAGTTGAGAACAAATATACATACGCCTTGCCACAGATACCGTCCTTGGTCGCGTCGACCAAGATATTTGGTCCTATTCTCCGAGGACCAAAGGCTGTAATCTTTTCAATCACGTCGGTCCAAATCTCTTTCTGTCCTTTGGCCTCGGCGAATGCCTCCTTGAGCTGCTTCTTAAATTCGTCAAAGTTCAGACTTTGTCCAATCTCGCGTTGTTCAGCCTCTTGTATGCCATCATCCTCAGCACCGTGCACGCGATGCTCTCCTTCGTCTTCGGCTCGTCGCTCCGAGTACAACTTCTTGATCGCACCCGCGTTCTTGCCCAGAAATTCTGTCACACTGGCTGGTAGTGGGCGAACTCGTAAGCGAACAGAAACATGCTTGCTAGCAGTCTCGCCAATGACTGTTCCTCGTGGTAGATTAGGGTCTTTGGGTGGGTTCATCTCGGTTGCAGCCACTATTGACTCTCGGTATGGCACGATGGGTTCGCCAGCCTGGATTTCGCACTTTGCAAATCGCTCTTGAAGATCCTTCAGACATCGCTCAAGATGCAATTCGCCAGCTGTCAAGATGACATGTTCTCCACTAGGCAGTTGCTCGTATTCAGCACATGGATCGCTCTGGACAAGTAGCTTCAAGCCCTTGATCATTTTGTCTAGGTCATACGGGTTTTCAGGCTCGAGCGCAACGCGCACAATAGGTTCTGAGCCCATCTGAATACCAGCAAGATTGGCGGATCCAGGAAGCTGGGAGCAGAGAGTGCCGGACTTTAGGATGTGGCCCTCGAGTCCACCAATACCAAAGACGACACCGGCAGGCACCGAGGTCAATGGCTCCAGACCACGACCCATCATCAGGTACAGCGCAGTGATTTTGACCTTTTGTGGCTCCGGAGAGGCGTGTGGGTTTGCGGGGGTGAATTTAGGGCCAAGAACGTACACTTCGTCGCCAACACTCAAGGTACCAGAAAAGATACGTGCGAACCCGATGAGGTGTTCGGCTTCTACGTCGGGCACTGGTGTCTCTTCTACAGGCGTCTCGGTTTCTCCAATAGCAGCAGAACTTAATGCGTCTGTGACTCCACCAATGTCAGCGTCCTCGCCGTTGGCGATAGCTTGCTGCCGGGCAATCTCTGCCCTCTTCTTCCGTCCCATCTCCCTTGCCTCTTCAGCTGTGAGTGCGCCACCTCTTCGCTTGTTCTGAGGTAGTTCGCTAGAAGGCACTGAGATCATTTTGCTGACATAGGCTACGACAGGGTCATCCTTGGAGGCCTTGAAGTTGGTCATGGCGTCGCGCACTTCTGGTGCAACGTAATCGGCACCTGGCGAGCTATCGATGATTTCGGGCATGCGTTCGGCTTGCGCTTTGGAGGGGGCAGGCAGATATTCGGTGACTGAAACTAAGAGTGCGGTTGATAGTGGAAGCCAAGCTGCGAAAAGTGCAATTAGGAGTGCGCGCGGGTCGCGAGAACGCATGATATGTGCTGGAACGTTAAGGTTGAGTGACTTGGTAATCTTGTCGACCATAGCAGGATCTCTGTAATGAAAAGTATAAGTATATTGCTATGATACATGGACATGAATCACGCAAGGAAAGGAAATCCACGCACCCCTTCCCGTTGTTACCTCCCGTGGTGGCCTCGTATACAGCCCACACGTTATCTAGGACGAGCTGGACGAACATGGGCTTAAGATGGCGACCCTTGAGATGCTTGGAGCTGAGTACGCGCTTCGTCTTGGGGTCTAGGTAAAAGTCGCCCCAGAGTACCTTTTCGAGAATGGAGCGCTTGATGCCTAGTTTCTTCTCGTACAGGCTGGCAAACTGTCTTACCGTGAATGCCCAGCCATCGATGGCACTGCCGAAGATGACGTTGTTCTTCTCTGGGGCAAAGTAGATGTCTTCGTCGTCCTTCTCCTCGTACTCGGCGGGTGTGCTCGTGGTATCGATGCTTTCGCCGTTCTCTGGTATGGATGAGGATCGTGTGTCAGTATTCTCAGCTGCAGCGTTTAGTCTCTCTTCCATCTTCTCGCGCCATCGGAGGTCGTCCTCCATGCGCTCGCCTTGGTAGAAGCTGCCCATGACGGCGTTTACCTGTTCGAGCAACTTGCTCAGATGTGTGTATGCCTCGCCAGGGCTCATCTTGAGTTCTGTGATTAGCCTGTCCATTTTGTTAATGACGAGCAAAGGCTTCAGCTTTTCTATCCACGACTGCCGCAGCACTGTGACGGTCTGACTACATACGCCCTCTACGGCGTCTACAAGCACGACAGCGCCGTCGCAGAGACGTGATGCGGTAGAGACCTCGTAGCTGAAGTCTATGTGTCCCGGCGAGTCTATAAGATTTATGAGGAATTCCTTGGGCTCTGGCTGTGCATCGGGCGCGGAGCGTCGCAGCAGGGAAAAGTATAGCGAGATGGCGGACGACTCCATGGTGATGCCGCGCAACTGCTCGTCGGGCCTCGAGTCGAGGTAGCGGATCTTGCCAGCGAGTTTGGGGGAGATGATGCCATTGGTGGCTATGAGGGCATCGGTGAGGGACGTCTTGCCATGGTCCTGCCGCATTCAGCACATGTCGCGTTCACGCGCATCAGCAAGTCGACGTACCACGTGAGCTAGGATGCAAATGTTCCTGATGCCATCAGCCGCCTGCTGCAGCGACACCAGCTTGTCGCTCGGAACGACAGGCATGCTGGTCGAGTGTTGTGGTCGAGACTGGTTGCGACAAGGACTGGGGGTGGGCGCCGTGTTTCGCGTGGCGACGTCAAGGCAGTGGAGCGCGGGAGAGGCCGTTTCACTGCAGATCAAAAGCGCGCGTACCGAAAAAGGCAAATTGGAGGGGCGTGGACAAGTGCCGCAGGTGTTGAGGTTACAGATTTGTTGTGTGGTTTGGGGGCATGGCGGAAGATTTGGATGAAACGCAGCGGCGGCTACCAAGGTCCCCGCCAAACCGTCATCACTATGGCTCATTTTTTGGTGGCGGTCCAGCTGCACCAAGACGTCAGACCCTGCTGACATAGCCATATGCAACCCAACGGCCTCCCTGCCGAAGCGTCGCATGCACCCCCCCTCCCGTCCTGCGTCGTCTGCGATCGCCGGCGGCGGCCTTTTGTTTGACCTCACCACTTGGGCCCATGTCCTTATAGCCTGTGCGCCTGCCGTCGCTGGTGCGGTTTGCGCCCCATGCATTCCCCCTGTCCCCTCGCCCACCGTCTGTCGATCTCCCATAACACTCGGGATATAACCAACGCGCTCGAGCATCGCAACGCCCCTATAGCTGCCTCCCTTCACTCCCACCCCGCCTACCGTGAATGTGACTCCTACCGCCGACATGGCAGCGACACTGGACGGCCAGCACACGCCCGCCAAACCCATTGCGATCCGCTCTGCTGGCATGAAGCTGGACCCGCCCCATATACACAACATCAAGACGCTCAGCGCCAGCGTCGACATCATGTCGCCCGTCAACCAGAACGGCTGCTTCGAGTTCGACCGCATCATCAAGGCCGGCACCGTCGTCAAGCGCACGAGGAAGACAAAGGCACGCACCCACGCCCGCGACCACCGTGGCATGACGTCTGCTAACACGTGCACAGCAATGGAAGCCCGTCTACATCGTCCTGCGCCCCAACTGCCTCTCCATCTACAAGGACAAGCACGAGACCAAGCTGCGCCACCAGATCAACCTCTCCGAGATCACGGCAGTTGCGCGCCAGAGAGACTCGAAGAAGAAGATGGAGCACGTCTTTGGCATCTTCTCGCCCGCCCGCAACTACCACCTCGGCGCATCCACAGACAAAGACGCTCAGGACTGGGTGCACTTCATACGTACCGAGGCGCGCATTGGCGAGCACGAGGCTGAGATGACCGTCATGAGTCCCACGGCCACAAAGAAGACGTTTGCAGGCTTTGGCCGCGCAACCAGAGAAAACATTGTTTCCAGTTCCTCCGAGGCAGAGCCGAGACCCTCGAGCTCCATCGCCCCGGAGAACATGCACAGCGCCCGCCGTCCCTCGCAAGCCCTCAACTACTCTGGCGGTGAGCGCGGCTCCATCTCCGACTTTGACTTCTCCGACACCAACCAAGCCTCCGCCAACTCTCCGCCCCCGACAACACCACAGCAGCAACAACGCAACGCGAGCCAGCAGAGCAACATCGGCGCCACACCCGACGACGAGCGCGTCGTCTACCACGGCTGGCTCTATGTCCTCAAATCCAAAGGCGGCGTGCGCCAGTGGAAGAAGATCTGGGTGGTGCTGCGACCAAAGTGCCTTGCTTTTTACAAAAACGACGATGAATACTCCGCGACCCACATCATCCCCTTCACCAACATAATCGATGCCGTCGACATAGATCCACTCTCGCGAAGCAAGCAATACTGCATGCAGGTCATATGCGAGGACAAGAATTACAAATTCTGCGCTTCAGACGAAGATGCCCTAGCCAAGTGGCTCGGCGCGTTCAAGAGCTTGCTGGTCAAGAAGAAGGAAGTGCCTCAGACGCGCATACAGCAGACAGCTCCTAGCACCATCAACATCCAACCAGCAACCCCAAGCCTCGTGTCTTCACCCATACTGCCAGCCCAGCAGCCTCTCTCCATCAGATGACCCTCGCTTGCCATCCCCGACACTCCTTCCAAACACCAATTGTACATACGCTGGCCCTCGTATCCTCTTCGAAACTCCCACCCTCCACCGCCATCACTAATCGCGCAAACCCTCCCTTGACCTCTTCTCCTTACGATACCATTACGATTTATGACTTCAGCCTTGGTGTGCTGCCCATTGATGGGGCCTTTTGATACCAGTTGGATACTTTTGCTCGACGATATTGCATATTGTAGCATGTTCCCCCCCACAGATTGTTTCCTTTGTTCACACTTGTCACATCTAGTATGCAATAGCAGTAGCAGTAAGCCTTGTAATCACCAGTCGCCCTTGATCTGGGCTTGAATTCATATTTCATAGTCGCGACATGCCTTAATCAAGTTCGCAGCATCGTACACCTTCTACGTCGTGATAAGATGAATGCACCTCTAAGATCCTAGTTTAAGGGAACATGTGCAAATGGGCATCATCTTTATCACTGCTATTGGATGTGCGGGACGGCACGCGAAAGTGTGCCCCACTACATGCGAAGACGGTTAGGCTGACGCTAGCAAAGAGCTGAACTATAACTAGACGCTGACGGGCTGACCTGCATGCCGGCCCCCAACTCAAGTTCGGATCTTTTTTCCATTCGCATCATGTCTGCCTCATTTCTTTCCGGCTCACAGTCGTCTTCTGTGACCTAAAGTTATTCTCGCATGGAGATTCAAGCGCAAGACACGAAAGCCGCAAGGCAATTCCCGAATCAAGACCAAACTGAAGCCCACCTGGCTCTTGATAATCAGGTTACGGATCAAAGACAAGACGACTATGGGCAGGAAGGACAACCCAAAACGAAGATCCAAGACGAAAAAGATGTTCGAGAGTCAGAGTCACTACTTCATACATTTAAAGATGATAGAGAGGCCATCACTCCCGCCCATGGACTAGGATCCCGCGATGCGTGCTCCCAGCAACCAATGGAAACGCATAACAATGACACGGATGGACCAGAAGTCATATACCTATGCGATCACCTTGGCTCTCGCTATGTCTTTCCGTTTGAGCATTGCTCCTCAAAAGAGGTGAGTACGTTTCTTACTTCGCTCGACGTTCGCTCTTTTCATGACCCTGAAAACAATGTTCTGTACGTACAGGTACGAATGATATTCGAATTCTGATTCGCTTAGAGTCATTTTTCGATGGTTTGTTGACTGATCCATTTCCATAGGATATCGAGCCACTTTGGAAAGAAATCTACGCAGAAACAGACGAAAGCTACCTCGACAAAATCAATGAGGGAACCTATAAGGTAGAAAATGTCAAAGGCGCTAACATCTTGCCGAGTGCTTGGAGTAAGCTTGTCACACCCGGTTCGACAATCCGGATCGTATTTGTCGATCGCTCGGCAAATTCTCCACAGTCAGGGCCGCCGTTGCGGGCTCGTCTAGGAGACACCCTGGAAGGTCATGGGACTGGTGGTCCCAGAGTCTTGCGTACTGTTACTTTTGAAGAACCACGGTCCGTATCGCCATCGTCAAGATCAGAAACCGTTGCCACTGCAGAAAGCGATGTGGTTGGAGATGTTTTCAAAGATGACTTTTTGGGAGAGGACTCTACCGACTACGAGTCTAGTGAAAGCGAGATGTCGAGTAATGAGGAGATACCGACTCCAGAGGACTACATACATTCATCGGTTCCTCGCTCCATCGCGACTCCAGTTGATGCTGAGGGCAAAGTGCTTTCATTCAAGGCGCAGATCAAGCAGCCAAGACGCAGCAACATGCTAAATCACGACTTGGAGATACATGGAGAGAAGAAGGCAATATGTAAAAGTGATGTTGAAACTTGGAAGATCACGAAGGCAATGATGACAGAGTTTGAGGGCCGATATGTACTCCAAATTCATACATTACCCGGCCCAGAGAATGCTCGGCTACAGGAAGGTGTGAGAACAACATGGTATCACATTCAGGCTTCGCGGCTCGACTTTGAGAGATTCCAAGACGTTTGTTTGTCCATACCAGGCCTTTCAGACCGGCTGCTGGCGCGCACTCGCGCATTATTGACAAAGGTTTATACGGAGAAAGTCAAACCCTTCTTGGGTGGAAGATTCATTGAGCCCGGAACTGTCCTCCGAGTCGATGATCCAGATGGGTCTGACTCTCAACCTGTCATTTTCAGCTGCGTACCATATCTCAGTCTCGAGCCACCAGAAAAACAAGGCTCAGAAGCGAACAAGTCTTGTTTTCCACCTCATACACTCATGCAGGCAATGTATCCGTACGAACCAGTACGAGAGCGAGATGAAGAGCAGTCTTGCAGGAAGTTCAGCGATGATCGCTCTGGTAACGTGGTCCATGTCCCTAGTTTGTGGATGATGAATATTGGACCTGGTGTAGTCGTAAGCCACGGACATCGACCTCTGTCCTCATATATGGATGGGTCTATCAACGTCGTTCAGGAGAACATCAAGCCAACTAGTAGGCAAGATATCAAAAAGACCCCCCTAACATCAGTCACTATCACTGATCAAGGTGGTCAGACACTCATGTTTCCTGTTGGAAGTTTCAGGTCCTACTTCCAGTTAGAAGCAACAGCCTACGAGCTTGTAAACAACTACATGACCAAAGCTGGCATACCAGAAAGCAAGTTCCATTTACGATATGAGACTTTGAAAGAAAGCACGACGATTCGTCCTGGAGACTGGAGGGAAATTGTCAACCGAGCAGCTGATCATGTTTCAATCAACATAAATATATCAGAAGGCCCAGAGGATGAGAAGTCAGCGAGAGATTCTCTCAACGGGTCTGCGTCAGCATCCGCGGCTGCAAGGTCTACGACGTCTATACCACCATTTTTTCATTGGCCAGATCCAACTCGTAATACTATACACCAAGGCGCAAAAAAGCCTACAGCTCTGGGAAAGCCTGACAAAAAACCGATTACCTATTTAGAGCAGGTGGAAGTGGCTATGTTATCGGAGACCCTCGATCCCTTAGAAACGACAGACCACGGTGTCGATAACGCTTTCACCTCTACCGACTACTACCGGTCTTTGCCAGAGAGAATGCAAATGGAATCCGGTGATAGCTTGTCCGATCTCAAAGATCGCGTGGAACTAGCAAAAATACCGAAACGTGGCGCTACGTTCCACCAAACTGTCGTTTGCAATCAACGCATTGGCATTCTAGAGCAATCAATCGAACTTCTTAATGTTGTTCAAGAAACTTTGAAGCTATGGGTGAGTGACCTCGACAGCGCCTGCGTTCTCCGTAAACTCTCGGGCGCTCTGGATAATGTTAGGGAGTGGGCAGTCATCATCGATCAACGCGGTTCTATAGAATACTATTTTGGCGAATACTCCGATACCAACCAGGAGCATCCTGCTACGACGGAATGTGCTTGGGTTCTTCGCACTGGTCATAGGCCTTTTCTACTATCGATCCCAGATGGAAATACGAAACTGGCAAGATCAATGGCACGGTGTAAGCGGTGCCAATCTTTGAAAAGATACTATAGTCCACAAACTGCATTTGAGCATTTGCAGCGACACAAAAGGTTTAATCGCGTTGGAAAACCTGCCAATACGAAAGAGAGAGGATGTACGACAACTCCCGATGGGGAACATGCTGGTGTCGCTAGTATTCCAAAACTCCAGGACTGGGTTATGAGTCCTGCGCACTTTTGGCTTGAACATACAAACGCTGGAACCTTGAGAATACTCACCCAAGCATGTGCGACTGCAAGGGAAATTCTCGTCGAAGCTCAAGAAATTGTTGACGGAGTGCAAAATGAAGATGGTCGAATGTCGTCTTTGTATAGCCTGCCAAAAGAACTTGTTGAAGCGTTTCGGAGAATCGTGATCTTTTATTTGGCGATCGAGCGAGCTCTATGGCAGACTCGCCAGATCTACGATGATGACGCTCAATCAGGGAAATCCGCTCATCTTACTTTCGCTCCATATTCGGATGCAGGACTCGAAGTGCTAGAACGATTTGGTAACGGCGCGAAACTGTCGCTGTTTAGCGCTCGGCATGCGCTGAAGCAGATGGTCAAGTCGAATCAACCACTGGACGTCCTTAAGCACCTCTCCTTAGGACCGGAATATGCCTGTGCATGGTTGATGAGGCGGTTGTTTGCCAAACCTCTCGAAGAGAGTAGGACTGCGGGCGATATGTACAGAAACTACGTTTCCAAAGTTGTAAGTGCACCCATGCTTGACCCCACGTACAGAGATTACACTAGTCTGGAGGCTATATCAGGGGTATAGGACAGTGGCGCGAATACTTGCAGATATTCTTCTATTAATAGCTGACCCTTGCTAGCAATTCGAAGTCAACCATCGACCAAGCAAGCGCCTCGTCCGCTCTATCAATCTTATCCAGGAGGAACTGCAAATCCTGATATCAGTGAACAGATGGCAAAGCACTGTTGTCCAGAACTACTTGAGCGTCCTCGATGATTCCATGTATGAAAAAGCCATACCAGCCCGCCGAGGCATGTTTCCGTATGAACGTATTCTCGTTCAAAACTGCCTAGACCAATTATCTCTGGTTCGGGAGGATTACATTGATTTAATTTCGCGTTGTACTCCACTCTCCGACCGTACAAAGCAGATGCTCGAGATTAATGAAGAAGATCATGGCAAAGCCATCATGGTCTTCACGGTTGTCACAGTCATATTCCTACCACTATCGTTTGTAACGAGCTATTTCGGTATGAACTCTTCAGACATCAGGGATATGAACCAAAAGCAGGACTTGTTTTGGTCTGTCGCTATACCACTCACAGTGGTTACGGTGGGGTCCTGCCTACTCATCGGTTATAATGGGAACGAACTGCGGGATATGATCTCATCATTTTATCGAACAGTCATGGGCAAAGAGAAGAGAATGATCGAGGCTTATGGCATGGGTGTACCGCAACGTAAACGTATACCGAAATTTCCAAGCGAATCAGGCGGCAGAGTGGATTCGTTCAATCCCGCTTATGACGCTGAATTCACCAGTCCCCGATTCGGACTACAAAGAAGGCCATACGACTTCGAGGCGGACGACGACTGGTACGACTCGCCCTACAACTCCACACCACTGAACAGGCTACCAGGTCCCCCTGTTTTCCGGCCTATGCCTATGACAAGCAGCGATGAATCGCGTTATTTCCTAGAAAACGACGGTTTGAAGAACAAAACAGGAGTATACCATCGAAGAACAAATTACTATGATGGAGCTTACACAGCTCCGCGGGACCAAGACCGAATGGGGTACGACCAATACCGCTACGTTCGCCGCAGCAGCATCGATAATCTATCGCGCAATCCCCCGTCAGTCCGGTCAGTTCACATACCCCCACCAATACCGCCTTATGGATTCGCAAGCAAGAAGTCACGAAGCCGGAGTAGGAGTAGGAATGAACACGGCCAAGTTGGCTCGAGGGACACTTTCTTTCATTGATCAAGACATTGGATAGGAAAGATTTACTCTTATACACTCGCACTACACTGCAACTCCAGAGTCCAAGTTTCCTTGTTACACATTGATACCTTTTGCCATACCAGCCTCTGCTACACGGTATGGTTGGGCGTATAAGCGCCCATTCTAGTAGAGTAGAGTGTAAACATATGTTGGCATAGCTCAAGACAGCCTTCACCATACTACCAGGTGACATAGCAAGGTGGCATGAAGTCAAACAAGTGACTGGGCATTCAAAGCACCAATGCATTAGCTATTATTACGGTAGGACGGCAGCAGCGATGAACTAGCAATTTTGTTCCACCAAAGGCTGTTAACAGGATAAGGTCCGCCCGCGCAACATCCTCTCCATTACGGGCGCGATTATGCTCCATGTCCCATGATCCATAGAAAACAAGAAAGAACAACCAAGAAACATTTCATCTACTACTTATGTGCGCGTGCGCCGTGGCGCAACGTGGTATCATCCATGATCAAAAGGTAGGAAAGTCGTAATCATGACTGGCGGCCCCCAAGCATACCGGGTATCACTGGTCGACGAACAAGCATCTAAGCGCGGCCCTGGAAGACAGGGTTCTGATCACCGAAAGTAGTGTTGAACTCTCCGGAAGCAGGAGCGCCAGTGGGTTGAGTGGTAGAGCCGGTGGTGGTGGCAATAGGGTTGTTCAGACCTGTAGAGTCGAGGCCAGATGAACCAAGACCGGACGAGCCGACGGGAGCGCCGGTGCCCGAAGTGTTGAAAGCATCGTCGACCTGAGTGCCGAAGCCGTGGCTACCTCCAGTGGTGGAGGGAACACCACCAGTCAAACCCTGACCACCAGCGAGGGCGGATCCTCCAGTAAGACCCTGGCCACTGGTGAGGCCCTGGCCAGCACCGAGACCACCAGCGTTGCTGTACTGGCTGTCGTACTGGTTTGCTGATGGGTTAAGGCCTTGTGAGGCACCAAGACCACGAGATTCATCACCGGGACTGCCGTAGCCACCCGCACGACCGTGAGGCTTGCGAGTGACCTTGCCAACCTGAGGCAGACTGGAGGTTTCCTTGGCGGAACCAATAGAGAAGATAGGGCTCTCCCACCTCTCACCCTTGGCAGCAAGCTCCTTGTACTCGGTAGCCTTGGAAGAGATACCTCCGGGCAGGGAGATGTTCTTGAAGATGGAGTCGTGCTGAGTGACAGCCATGTTGACCTGGGTGTCGCTGGCCTTCTCCTTGACCTGCTCCTTCTTCTGCTTGCCCTGCATAACGCGGTGCTGCACAGCAGAGGCGTAGCGCTGGTACATGTTCTGGATGTTCTGGGGGTCGGGGTTTCGCTTGGCCTCAGCCTCCGCACGGTCTGCCTCAGTCTTGATGTCGAAAAGAATGCCGTCAAGCTGGTTGGCGGAGTCCTTGATCTGCTTCTCCAGCACCTTCTGAATAACAGGGCGCATGACCTTGAGAAGGAGAGGCTTGAACATGTTGAAGAGAAGCTTGTGGTTGCTCTTCTTCATCTTGATCTGAAGGTTCTTAATGTCAGACTCAACCTTAGTGACCTTGAAGAAGTGGGTCTGCGCGTTGTTTTCGCGGGCCTTGTCAGCGGTCTCCATCTCGACCTTGAAACTGAAGCCGGAACCGCCCATGAAGATGTCCATAACACCCTTGTCGGTGATAGAGGGGAAGCCCTGCTTGCGCTTGACGTAGTACGAGACATCCCTGAGGTCCATTTGAACACCCGAAACTGAGAGCATGACCTTATTCTTGTTCTTGCTGGAAATGGACTTGCGTCCCCAGCGCCAGTAGTTGTCCGAGCCGAACTCCAAAGAGTTGGGGGCAAGGTTGTCACCCTCGATGACAAGGTTCTCAACAACAGCGTCGACCATAGAATCGCTGTACTCGATACGCGGGATTGGTACATAGCGGACGTTCTCGAAGATGGAAGGCAAGATGACATCGCTCAAATCTTTGAGAAGGTGAGGCTTGAAGACGGTCTGGCCGTTCTCATCCTGACCGAGGTCAAGGAAGAGCTTGTTAACAGACTGTGCGAACTGCTTGTTCTGCGGGTCAGCATCGAACTGCTCGCCAATGAACTTGAACTCGTCGGCGATGCGGTCAGTGTGGCCACGGTAGCGACCACGGAGGAGGCGGTGACCATCATCATAAATCTGGTTCCACTCCTCGTTGCTACGATCCTCTAGGATGAAACCCTGCTGCTGTAGGGTCTTACGGATGAAGTGGTTAATGCGTGTGAACCAGTTCTTCAGTTCGGGGTCCTGGTCGGCGTCCCTGTAGACCTGGTTAATCGACTCGATAAGGTCATCGAACGAGGTGTTGTTGGCGAAGCGCTCGAGCAGAGTCTTCAAGTTTGTCAGCCATTTGTTTTCGGAGAGGAAGCCTAGATACGCACCTTGAGATTAGCTTCAGCAGTAGTTAAAGCATCATTTTGATGCGCACCTTGAACAGAGCCCTTGCCCTGCTGACCCAGGTTCTTACCATGGCCAGAGTACTGCTCGGCGAGGCTGAGCAGAGTCTCAATGGCACGCTGGTAATCCTGGTGTCCCTGAATCTCGACGACCATCTTCTTCAGACGCCAGATGGTCTGCTCGCGACGCTCCTCGGGCATCTTTCCCTTGAGGTAGTTGTTCATTTGGTCACGACGAGCGCGAGCCATGTTCTTGTCCTCCTCAGAAGTGTTCGCATCGACCTTCTGCTTAGCAGTCTCCAGCGCACCGCGAGCATTGATACCAGTGCTCTGGCCAGTTTGGCCCTCATGGGCGCCAAGCTCGGCAGTGTGTTGAGGATCGCGCGAACCGTCTGGGTTGGCAGCCTGGTTGATGTCCTTGGCATGCTCCTTCAAATCGCTCTTGGCCTCATCCTTGTTCTTGTTACCGAAAGGCAGGCTGTTCTTAGCTTGGTTGCGGAGGTTCTCACGGTTCAGATCGGAGGTGTCATGCCAGGTGTTGTCCTCAGCAGGCTCGTCCAATCGGTTGAGACGGTCTTCTGATGGCTTGATCTTGTTGGCAGTGTTTTGGGCGGCATCGCCAGCCATGTCACGGAGAAGGACGGTAGCATCGGAGAGCAGCTTCCTGAACTGGCCATTGCTAATGATTAGGGTGCCGAGAGTCCGTAGACCGTCGAGCGCCTCGTTTCCATGTTGCTTTGCTGTGTCCTTATCGACAGGAGCATTGGGGAGGCTGGCGCTGTTGCTACCGAGGTGCTCTGCCTGCCAGATGAAGTCTTGGAGGAGGTTGCCCTCGTTCTTGGTGAGAAGTAGGATCTTGGCCTGTTCGATGACACTCTTCAAGTCCGAGACCAGGTGCTGGCCCTCGCTCGACAGCTTCTTAGACGGGGAGTTGAGTGCCCTGTGTGCAAGCGCCGAGTTGAGCGCAACATCGATCTGTTGGTTAGAAGGGACCTTTCCGTTGGAGAAGGCTAGAGTTGGTCAGCTCTGTTTGCATTACTTGTGCGACGCGTCGGTTGCACGTGTTTACCTACCCTCGACGATGCCGTAGAGTTGTAGCTTGTTGTTGACATCCTTCTCCTTCTGCTTCAAATCCACCGGACCTGGACGGGTTAGTAGTGCTTGGAGGGGGAAGCGGGGTAGGTATCCATACGGTTTACGGAACTCATGGTGTAGGACTGCTGCTGTGGGTATCAAGGTGGGGTATCAAAATGCAGACGCAGAGCTGAAAACAATGGGAGGTATGGTGGATGGGTGTTTCGAGGTAATGGGTATCAGAGTGGTTTGTGTGGGAGGGAAGGCGGGTGAGGGCAAAGGCAGCTTTGTATTTGGGCTGGCTGGGTAACACGCGCGATTGCAGCAACTACGTCACTGCGTCGTAGCTTCCCGCTTGTGAAGAGTCTGGGCTTGGAACAGCGACCGACCACGACCAACTTGATTGACCCCGCGACTACCGGCCATGATTTTCCCGCTGCCATCGATCGAATGCCGCGGAACGTACAGAGAAAGCAGCGCGGCAGCCCAATTCCTTGGTGATGTGCCGTCCAATGCCACAATTGTACACGCTTTCCTTGAGACATGGGGCCAGCCACGCCAGAACGAGGTCGCCCTGGTCTGTATGACGAGCCTACGGGTATGTTTGCGGGATCGATCGGCGCCAGGTTTCCCAAAAGATGCCAAAACATGTGTCTTGGTTGCGTCATGGGTAATCGAGCTGTGCGCCACAATCTCGATTCCGTCTTATTGCGAAGTGTGGCGCCACCCCTTGCCTGCAAAAGTCTTCCCTGCAACCTTCGCCAGGTCTTTTCTACTGTAATTTTCTTGCTCTCTTTCGCTGCAATCTCTTCCTAGAGAAGTCACAACATCTTCCCCCATCGCCCCTCTTTCTGTTTGTGGTATTCTATGCGCCACATATCAAAATACCAAGCTTTTCTTGGCATCAGGCTAGACGGCTGGCCCACTGCTAGCGCAAGTACCGCCGGCCACACCGCTCGCACGATGACGACGTCCATCTTCCAGTTCACGACGTCCAATCTCGTGCGGCGCCAGCTCATTCGCCGCCAATGCACTACAATGGGTCGTGCTGGCGCGTCGCTCTCATGGTCCTAAGGTCATGAACGCCACACACGCATCAAACGGCTTCCATTCTAACACGTGAGGCTTTGAAACCGGGAAATTCAGACAAGGTCAATCCTGGAAGCGCTCTCCCTTCAGATCTGCCCGCCCTGGACGATCCCATACACAGACTTCTCGACGTGCCTGTCTGGTATAGCGCAGATCAGCCGACGCACTAAGCTTGTCGGCTGCTGCCTGTACCTCATCATATGTCGCTACTTATTACCAGTCATGATAGAGATGCCACTATGTTTCTTTTACCCGTGCTCGGTACCTGCCGCTCCTGTTCAGTAGAGTTCTGCCAAGCGTACGAACCATTGGCCTGTACTTCCACCCGCACTTCAATGTACTACAAATATCCTTTGATTTTTTGTACCACCCCTCACTGCGCACTTCTCAGCTGCTGATCAAATATCCTCGATGAAGTCCTCGATGAAGCAATCGACCTCAGCAGCGAGTGCACCGATCACGTTCTTCTAATCCTTGATTCTCACCCTCGCGATCGTACTGGATTAGTGGCCGAACTTGCCGAAGATCCGAACACACGGGGGTGCTTACTGGCGACAACGGAGTCGATCTTTTTTCCGGGACTATCAGCCCTATAGTAAGCAGATAGAGGCGGTAGTGGTTTCTACCAATGGAAAAGATGTCCAGAGGAGTACATATATACGAGCGAGGAGCGAGATCCATTTTTCCTGGGGGCGCTTGGATTACCGAGGTTCTCGTGGAAAATCTGCAGTAGTTCTAGGATATGATACTCAAGCGAGTGATTAGAGATAAGGAAGTAAGAAGCCGTGGTGGAAACTTTCGGCAAGCTAACACGGTATCGCCAGGAGTAAGAAGTAGAGCATTGAGGGGCTGATGGAGTCCTGCAACCAACCACGTTGGACGCCGGATGAAGGTGACAGTTACAAAGGTAAATCGTCCTAATCGGCGGTGGCAAAAGAAAATGGGTGTAGAAGGAACAGATGCAGTCGAAACACTATCAACACGCTCTCAAAATTCTCTGTCTGCACCAAGGGGAGCGAAGAACCCTGTGATAGAGTATGTGCGGCGTTGTACGGTCCTTCTTGCTGTTATGGTCTCAGCGACAAGAAATATACCACAAATCTTCTGGTCCGTGGTCGACAGCACTTCAATGTTTATAACTCCACAAGCGAGGTAAGCTACTGGACCAGCGGCGATTGACGCTTCGGGCGCAATCGCAATCGCAATCGAAATTGTTGAGTTGATTTCACTGACTTATTTTTATACGTGCGGTGGTTTTCTGGGAACCTGGAAAGCGCGTCTATCCGGTACCTAATGTACGTGTGAAGGTTGTATTTTCGTCATCTGTACTACCGGCTGGAGATAGTTAAAATCCTATTCCTTACCCAAGATATTACTTCGAGCCGTTTCCGCGAAGCAAGTACCCCCCATTCTCATCATCATCGCCAAGCGGTATCATCTCAGCCTTTCTAACAGCCCTAAACAGAACCCCTGGATGCAAAACTGCCATGATGACCACTACGCCGAACATCAGCGCCGCATCAAAAACATACAAGTATGCTTCGGTCTGATAAACCTTGCTCTCCGGCCCTTCCACAAACTCTGCCAGGCGAAATATACTCCGCACAACAACGAGCACACTAACGCTGTACAAAGCCCACATGTAGCGCTGCCATCTGACATGAGTCCGAAGTGACGTGGACGTGGGTTTGTTGTTAAGCCTCCGGTGAAAAACCACTGCCATTAAGATGAAGAAAGCGAATGCAACCAATTGCGTGCCCAGTCCCGCGATCACAACGGTATTTCCTGTCTTGACACCCTCTGGATCACCAGAAGTTTGCATTGCAGAGCCCATGATCTGGCACACGAACGAGCCTATATCGATGATAACATAGATCTTTGTCGTCCAGCGCGGATTCAATACAGCGTGGTGTGTAGCATCGAGAGCGCGGATAAGACGACCGAGCGTCATGTAGATGGTTGCTGCAAGGAGCGGCGCGGCCGCAAGAATGAGCATGAGTTGTATGAGGTAAGGGCTACCATTTCGGATATCGGATGAGGACCAGGCGCGACCGTAATAGCCTGCTGCTTCACCTGCGAGATTGGATGTTAGTCGATTGTACTGCGTGATGGTCATCGTGTAGCTACGAACCTACGCAACCCAGAACGAACGGAACAAAGAACCAGCTTCGCAATGGGATGAGCATTACAAAATGAGCCAAACCACCGATTGCAAAGAGCACCAGGAATGCATAGCCAGCGGGCCTGGAAGGCGTATAGGGATAGAGATCGAAGTCGGCTTGGCCCCTCGATATGAGGGCGTTAGACGCCATTTATGAAATCAGGCTGGTGCTAGCGATTTTCTTTGCGTGAGAAGTGGGGGAGAATGAATCAATGTAAGAATATAAACGAAATGGTGTGAGGTGGCGAAGCGGATGACGATGGAGTCAGTTGAGAGTTACCCACGTTACTATATACTGTTTTAGTAAGATCCATGTTTCTCGCATTCGACTCTTACGCTCTCTTATCTCTCTCAAGCATTACTACAAGAGGCGCAGTGCCGCGCGGCAATTCCTCGGTCTAGTGTTCGGACGTTTCGTGTTAGTCTGCGAATTTCGTTGCGAAAGAGAATACGCGGTAATACGCCCTAATGCGCACAAGGATTTGTCGCTGAACGAGACCCTTCGCCTTATCTCTTCTGGGTTAGCAAAGAATCGTTCCTCCTTTTTTATGCTTCTTTCGTTTATCTAAAGCTTTTACAGTGGGTTTCATATCCCGTGATAATAGATTAATTAGGATTTCTGTGTATCATTCATGGCTCTGCTATGAGCATTCAGCTGCTTGACAAGGTCCATATAAAGAAGAAAAGGGTGTCCAGGCTATGGAAGGTAACTGAGCCAGCACTTCATTTGACCTCCCAGCTTTTTTGAGCAGCCCGATTCTAACCATACCTAGGTATTTTGTCGCTTGCGCTATCGTAAAGGAGGCCAACACGACAATTTCAAAGGATGCGATCGGAACTCTCTGCACTACGAGGAGCCGTTAGATTAAACAGAGAGAGGAAGAATAGAGTGTAGTTATACAAGACCCCAAGGACATGGCCCAGCGCTTTGTACGCGGATTTGGCATCTTCTCTCACGACATGAGCAAGACTACCGACAACGGCCAAAAACACGCCATAATGACTATAGCCAAGGAATCGTTCAGCAAAAGGATCTTCATCCGTGGGAAGTCTTAAATCTGCCAACAAAGAGAGAGAACGCGCTTGTTTGTCCTAATGAATGAGGCGTGCAAGGTATATGCGGAAAGCCAGAATTCAAAACTCTTTGAGTATGCACGTTTCGCGTCTAGTCTTACTTTCTCCGTAGTAGATGAAGTGATTTACGCATGCTATATTAGAGATAAGTTGAATGAGCCAGAGGAGTACTCTGAAACCTTTTGGCCTTTGGAACATCAACATGGGTGACCTCGGTTGCGCAATAGAGGTGGCGGTCCTCTGAGATACCATAGCAACATGCATTCACTACAAGCGCGGCATAGGTATGCTGTGTGACCCTGCTGTATCTGAAATGGCCGGCTCGAACATTGTTGTACAGGAAGTCCTATCACGCATTCTGTAAAGCCCAGTCGATTCAGACAGTCCTTGACACTGAACTTTAGGAGAAAGCTAGCCGAAGAACCCTACAATAACCAGCTAACGGCTCTTTGGGAAGAATGCTAGTGACGACCTCACAGAAGGCGACGGTATAGAGATGAGATACAAGGGCTCTCGTACTAATGGTGACCCTGTAGTGCCTCTTCGTCTGGATTATGCAGTAGTAGCAGCAAGAAGTGACAGCGAGAAAACGCTAGAGTGCGTTAAGAGCTGTTGAAAGACGTTGAAGGTACTGGGCGCGAGGTACATGAGAAGAGAATGAAGCTGAGTGCGAGCCAGAACGCGGTGGCAATGTCTTAGTGCTGTGCTATCTGGACATGCAAGAGGTGAAGAAGTATACCTAAAAGATAGCGATAGCTCCTGGTGGGCTTCCGATGCCGCCCCTAACATGCAGTGGCGCACTGGTCAAGAAAAAGGTATACCTGCCCATCTCTTTGCACCTTTGGCTAAGCTTCTCGAGGTCCCACATCTCACCGATAGCGGTACCCCAGTGAACGAGGAGCCATTCATGAAGGCACCACCCCTCCTCGAACTTCGGTGGCCAGGCTTCGAAAGCAACAGTATCGCCAACGATCGCGGAGAAGTGACGGTCATAGAGCCACCTGACAGTCTGCTCGTTGGCCTGAAGTCCGATGGCGACACTGTTATCACGCGTACCACTCTTGCGCTCCGCTTCGTTCGCATTGCTGTTATCATCAGTCATGTTGAGAAACTGAGAAACAAACAGGACACGTACTTATGCCATCTCACGTAACCACTTCGTATCATCATAATATCACCCTGCTTCAGCGTAGTGCCTTGCCACTTTAGCGTCTCTTCTATCTCCTCAATTGGAATCTCATGTCTCGATACCGGGCTTGGTGCTTTCCCCTTCTTCTCTTCATACCAACTCAGCCAGTCACATAGAACACCTCTTCCAACGATACCACCTCTTTCACACCACTTGTGCGTACCGTTCGTGACGCTCTTAGCTGCCTCCTTGTGTGAGAGACCGTTGTAGTACATGCCGCTCGCTTGATGCGCGAAATGCTTTAGACTATCCCACTGCGAGCCGGCTTGCGTGTTGATGTGAAGCTCATCATCATTAGCGCAGAAGTTGGAGAATTCTGCAAAGTCGATCTGCTTTTGCTCCAATTCTTTTCGGTTGAAGCCTGGAAACTGGACGTTGTGAAGTTCCCAATCAAGTTGGATGTGCTCGCCGGTGCTGATCTCCTTGGAAGCGGCTTTCACGACATCCGAAGTGAGAAGGTTGATAGCTATCAAATATTAGGTCAGTTCATTGCGCTGGATGTGGAGGTTTCTCACTTCCGACTTCGTCTTTCTCTCCATTCTTGTCGAAGAAACCCCATATGCTGCCTTGTGGCATATCCTTCACCTTTGGCAGGTCATCGAACGCTGGAAAGTTATATTCTTGTTTAGCCATTGTAAAAGTATTGGTGTTTCTTCAATTGCAACTTTGAGAATGCACCGCGAAAGCGTCTTGCTCTGACGATGCTTTATGTTAGGGCCATGAGCGCCGAGGTCAATCCTGAGACCCCGCATCCAGTACTAATGCGTATCATGCGGAGCTTTTGGTTGTCAGAGCTTCCATGACGTCGGAAAATACCATTTAGCGTGTAGTGAATTTGCTAGTCTGTAACCAGATGATGGCAGTTGGTTAGTAGGCGGACCCGCTTCCGAAAGGTGCGCAAGCGGGGATGTTACGAGTTAGCGTACACTTAGGTAACCCGCCCGTCCGATGTCACCTGAATCAAGTCCAAGTACGGTACACCGTCATTTTTAACAGACTAGATCAACTCTTGGTCGTCGATGCCAATCCCATGTTTGTTGGATTTATACTATGCTATGCTGTCAAGCAACATTGTTGTATACCAAATAACTGACAAACTTACTCATCGTACACGACAGCAGTCAGTGCATCGGGCAGACTCACAATGCCGCCAGTAACGGATCCATAACCATCCTTCGAAATGCAGTAGCTGGCGCAATTGGACAAGTTGCCATACGTAGGACGAAAGCACCCTCAACAACAGAAGCTACTTCTGACTCGAGTCATGAGATGCTGCTTGGCCATCTTGGGATACTGTTACGAGATTGGATTACTATTCCTCGATAATCGTTGCAAAGCTCATCGCAAAAGAGTTGGATGAAGATCGACTTCTCAAGCAGGCTCTCGTGTCGGCTGAGAACGGGAAGGCATCGATGAACTCGATGTTTTTCGCGCGTACGACTGGGAATGGGTTTTGTCATTCAAAACATACATTTGTAATAATTGCCAAAATCGGACTGGCTCATTGATTTGATGAGAAAATGAGCTTTTTTACTCAGGCAGCACGTAGTCCTCTTCTCATAGCCAGGCAAATGTGTTGCCTTGTCGCAGCTTCTTCACTGCGTAATTCGCAAAGGAGCGACAGAAAACTCCATCTGATCACACGCTGACGACACCTTCCATGAACTTCTCGCTGGCCAACTCATGGTCTCTGTTATCTCCAGAAGCCAATATATGAAAGGTTGTGCTACCACTCAGCAAGTCTCGTTCCCGTTCGCAAGGGAAACAGTCCACTCCGGTCCTAATAATGGGCACGTGGCTTGCGACTATGAGTGCAACTATCATGGAGATGGGAGAATGGCCACGTACATGACGTTTTACGTCGAAGTTTGCCCCGGTGGCTTCGAACAAATACTCTACGACTTCATCCGATTCGTCAGACCGATGACTGCCATAAGCAATATTGCAAAACAACATGGTTGTGACAGGACATACGCCAACCTCGGCGATCATATCTGTTCATTGGAGATCCCCAGCTCTTTTTTAGGAGAATAAAGGTAGACAAATTGTTGTAAAGAAAGCAGATTCCTGGAAGCACCCGCAGCACCTAGGCGATGTCGCGCTTCTCGTTGTAGGCGACTGGCAATATCGGAATCGCGGCTTAGACGAGCTGGCATTGAAACTGGAGTAAAACGTGTGAACAGTGCTCACTAAGTTGATGTGACCATCACTCATATATGATATGGGAATGGAGCGTTTCTGTACCGGTGCGAGATAGGGGGGAGTGTCCAATAAGAGACCTAGCTATTCCACTGGCTAAATCTCATTGGGACATCTATGATTAGCAGTGGGGTACGATTCATAGTAGATTGAAGGATCGTTTGCATCGTTGGGGTTTGTATCATTGAATTTCAGAAGCATTCTGCGTCATTCAGTGCGACAGCAGAAAGCATGATCGCCCTCCAGCCATACTTTCCGTGTTAGCCGGTCTTACGCCAGCCAAGCCTAGCAATTGACCCCGCCAGCAGCTGAACCTGCCAGTGGCTGTGCTTCCTCACATCTTTACCTACGTGCCACAACTACATTTATTCTAAGATGGCCGACCTCGTATCAGGCATTTCCAGACTCAATCCGTTTTCGAAAAAAGAGATCGATGATGAAGAAAAGGGAGAATTTGTTGATGCCGGGACCGTAGCAGGCGGCGGTCACGCATCGAGGCAGTCGCATATCACAAAAGATAAGCTGCGCGTGAGCGAAGTACTCAAGAGCTTCCTCGTCAAAGAGGGCGTTTTGCAAGAGTCCGAAGCCGGCCTTAAGAGTGAGGAGCGAAGTACGGCGCTGAGAGAGCTGCTCGACAGAAGCCACATCAAGGTTCCGGCGGAGGTCATCAACAGGGGCCATCCGCTCCCCGAATACTTCATCAGCTCGTCGCACAACACTTACCTGATGGCGCATCAACTCTTTGGCGAGTCGCATGCTTCTGCTTACGAGATCGCGCTGCACACAGGATCCCGTTGTGTAGAGATCGACGCCTGGGACAACGATGATAATCGAGAAGAGCCGAAAGTCACGCACGGGTATACCCTCGTCTCTAACATACCATTCCGCCAAGTATGTGAGACGATTCGCGATGTCGTCGACAAAGAAGCTGCTAGCGAAAAGAATGCTGCACCTATCATGATCTCCCTAGAAAACCATTGCGGAGCGCATGGCCAGCTCCGCCTAGCGCAGATCATGCAAGAGGTACTTGGCCCCCGACTTCTCAGTAAGGCCATTCGAGACAAGGGTACACGTGAACAAGATGACTCAAGTAACCATGAGCATGTTACACTTGCTGAGCTTGGGAACAAGGTGGCGGTCATCGTGGAGTACCATCTACCCGATGAGGAGGAAAGTAGCAGTAGCGATTCGAGTTCCGACGAAGAGGAACAGAAACAAGCTCATCATGAGTATGCAGAGAAGAAGAAGGCCACTAATGCTGGTACGATCATCCCCGAGTTGGCTGAACTCGGGGTGTATGCTCAGTCGGTCAAACCTGTCAACAACTCTTGGTTCGAATCAGAGCTTGACAACGCGCCCCATCACCAGCTTATCAACGTCTCAGAGTCAGGTCTGAGAGCCCACCTTCCTGCCAACAGCGCTAAGATCGCACGGCATAATGCGCACCACTTGATGCGCGTCTACCCCAAGGGCACCCGCATCTCCTCCAAAAATCTCGCACCAGTACCATTTTGGGGTATTGGCGCCCAGATATGCGCTCTCAACTGGCAAACCTTCGGCGCAAGCTCGCAGATCAACGAAGCACTCTTTGCCGGCTCTGGTGGCTATGTTCTGAAACCGGCAGCACTTCGTGCAGGGGGCTCTGGTAACCTCAACACTGGACGCCGAAAGAAACTTCGCCTACACGTTGCCGGTGCAACAGACGTTCCCTTGCCAAATGATCGCGACCATGATGACATCAAGCCTTACTTAACGTGTACCCTTGTGCATCCTAACGACATGAACAACATGCCACCCAAGCGCAAAACCGCACCCTACAAGCCCCACAAACTGACCGGCTTCATGCACAAGGATAATTCGCCCGCCAACGATCCTGTCTGGAAAGATGTCCTAGAATGGGAATTCGAGGACAACGAGCTGACCTTCTTACGCTTGTTAATCAAAAGCGATGACAGCTTCTCGCGAAACCCAATCTTCGCTGTTGCAGCGATAAGACTGATGTATGCTATGCCTGGATGGAACTTCATTCGGATGCTAGACTTGGGCGGTCATGAAACTACCTGTACGCTGCTTGTCAGATTCGAGCTTCTGGACATCTAGGAGTATTGGATCGGCAGTGAGTACGAGAGTGATGAGCCTTACTGTAACAGAGGGTGGCTATGTAAGGTCGCCAAGATGCACGAGAAGTTGTGTGGTGATGGAGGGAGTTGCTAAGTATCCGAAGTTACCACCGACTTACAGCTCTTGACGAAAAACTAGTGTAGAACGTCTCAATACACGCTTCTCCAATGATTTGTGCCATGCTCAGTTTTCTCCAGTACTACTTAGCGAAATCTTTTCCGAAGCATGCAGATCTCCGCAGATCGTTACTCCTTGGACTACGCTCTAGAACACGTATTGCCGTCCACTAACGCCCGTTAGTCTCCACCTTTTAAGTGCTTCTCCAAACGCCCGAACACGACCCCGCGCCGGATTGAGACATGCTTCCGTTGCGCCTCCAAGCTCCTGTGCATTAGTCTCGTACCGTGCCGATGATGTCAACGTACGCACCTCGATCACAGTCAGCTCGTTCCTTGCCCCACTACCTAAGTATCGCCCATGCAAGCTTGGTGAATGTGAACCACTCCCTCATCAAGCGACGACCACGCCGCAAATATGCAGTACGATAACGCAACTCCATAGGGACGGCCCGTCGCTGGATACAGTGGGGGTAACTATGCCGTTTGTGCCCGTTTGTGCATTGCCATGCTTTCGGATAGTTTACATGATGGGTAGTGATCGACTGAGTTGAACATGACTTGTACATGCATAACCGAGGGGCCTACAGACGGAGAGCTTTGCGTGTTGCTGGGGTATAGTGTGCGGGTGGCAATGGCAATCAGAGCGAGGGTCTCTCATTGCCGCATGCACGTTCACGAGCAGGCTTACGTCTTCTTATGACCTGGCTATGCATGGTGCTATACTGCCGTCTATGTTGGCCTATTATAGCGCAGGGATCGGGCGATAATCCGGCATAGAAGCAAAAACAAAAGTGGAGATTAAAATCATACTTCCAACGGATCAGACGATGGAACGATAGTTGCCAGTATTATCGGCGGTAGCCTCGGATGACGCCCAGGATTTGCGAAATGGTTTATTATAACATATTTGATGAGAAATGTTGGTAAAAGATACCGAAATTGGTGAACGCGTGTCATGGAGCTTCAGACCTTCCCATTGCCACTCGACTCATCCTTCTCGCTCTCCGCGACATGCCCCTCTTTTTCTTCTCTGTCTCTTGAAACTATTTCCTGATCTGGTGTTACTCCCTCCGTCTCCAGAATATGGTTAGGTACCACCACGCCCTCCTCGGTTCGATCGTAGTTTGTGTCTTGCATATGATATATCCCCAAGTAGTAGAAACTTGCGATCCCTATCACATAAAACAATAAGATGCCACCTGCCTCAGCGATGAAAGGTATCTTGATGCTATCGAGGCCGAAACAAATGGCTTCGCCCGCTCCAAGCACGCCGCGAAAGACACCAACATAGTGCGTAAGCTTCTGAGGAGAATTCGTAAGAGCGCCGATCCAGTAGTAGACGATGTTATGCCAAAGCTGTGAGAAGGTCCAGTTGAGCATGAAAAGAAAGAAAATCCATCCAAATTTTGGTTCGTCCCAATCTGTAGGGTTGGTGGGTGGATTGTTGCGATCGTAGTTTCGAGTTCGGATCTGCGTGACGTTAGTTCGTGTTAACGAGCCGTCGATGCCTACACATACCATCTCCCAGACCCACGCAATGACTAGAGGGATGCAAACACTTGTCAAGCCGACCAGTCCGCGCTTGCGGCGACCCCATCCCGGGTAATCGAGGACGTATTGCAACGCCCACCCTGCTGGTATCTGTATGACAACAGCGATGAAAGAAAGCAGTGAGCGTGTGCGGAGATTGTTACTGAAAGCTGCAGAGATATAAGCGCTGACTTGATAACGGGTTTCGAACGCCTACCATTTACTGATCCGCTGTACACCAAAAACCCTTCAGCTGGTAGAAATGCCGGTAGCATCATGAGGAGTATGGGGTCTGTGAAGACTAACAGATTCGTTCTGAGCTCCTCCCAAACTCCTCTTGGTCGATCAACAGCGACAACAGAGCCATCGTCTCTCGTGAGCTTGTGTGGTCGAAGCAAAGTTAGACACAGTAGGCCACCAATGACCATGATGACTATGAAAGCAATGTATACTGATCGAGGTACACCAGCAACAGTATCCGAGTTCCTGTTTATGATGACTGGGATAATGCCACTAATGACCGAACCGAGCGCTTGCATGTTCATGAGTATCGTCGCATAGGATCCTTTTTCTCTTTCTTCGGGGTAGCCAGTTGCAACGTAGCCTGCAGTGATAAATACCATTCCTGCACCAATACCGATGATAGGACCGGCGGCGTATGGGTAAGCGCTCTTGCCTGTCTCATCGTAGTACCAGAGAGATCCTACGTACACGGCGTAGGTTTGAACGCCAATGCACATGGTAAGGCCAGGTCCAAGCTTGTTCAAGATAGAGCCACCAAAGGACGAAGAGAAGAACCATACTACAGGATGATCAGTATAGGTCACCTATAAGATTCATGTATGGTTGTGTACCTGCGCATAGCGTCGCATTGACAACCTGGACTACCTGCGCCGAATCCGGCTTCCCGCCACCAGCTCCTAGAAGATTAAGCGCAACGTAGATACCGGCAGAGGAACCAACACCAAGACCGGCGATTAGCATCTGAACCCACGGTCCGTGGTAACGAAACTGAGGAAGGTTCAGGATCCCCATGACGTGTCACGAAAGCTATCTCCAAAAAGCAACGCGACGCAAAGATGAGCAAGAACAGAGGATATTAACGATAAATGCAGAGGTAAAGTTACACTAACGATGAGAAGGTCCGAGGCGTGGGAGTAATATAAACTTCAAGCCATCTGGTGCTGCGCCTCCCCCAGGACCCTGAGAATCAAGAGTGGGTGCACTAAGCACCAGCACAAGCTCACACCCTCAACACGAGGCAAGCAAGGGCAGGTCGCAGTCTCCACCGATAGATAGCAACATGTCAGAAACTACCAGGGTTCTGCCGCATGGCGTTCAGGGCCCATTGATCCGTGTGCTTCATTTGGCAGTAATCGACCACAGTATCCTAGTGGCTTCGAAAGCTAGTGCGCAGTGTGCTTACCGACGAACCAAAACTCCATGATAGCGGATACTAGCGTCAGGTTCCCGTACTGGGCTAGCTGACTCGCTAGGGGCGGGCTGTCAACCCGTAAAGAAGAGCTGGTGGCCTAAGCCAAGGAAAAAGAAATTGGAGAGCATTGGGGGAACGCTGGCACTGCCCTGAACGCTGCACCTTGGGAGAAACAGTGCCTGGAGATGCTGCACTTATTCAGTCGTTAAATATAACACAGCGTACACTTACTTCAATAGATCCGTGGCAAGCTTAGCAATAACTTATGAGACTGTTCGGGTTGGACTGAATTTGACGTTGCACATAGGTGCTGCAATTAGGGTTACTAACGCTCCGAGGATTGCTCCCCCGTAGAGTACGCTACGCGGCCGCCGTCAGCAAAACTACGACACCGAGTGTACGGATCCGATTATCATAAAGGAACTCGTGTCCACTGCAATGGGACCCCAGACGGGCCGTCCCTGTGGCTGCCGTTTTTCTCAATCCCAGACCTGCCGACAGCTTACGTTGATGCGCTTGGTGCCCATGTAGCCCTTCCACTTCTTGTAGGCTTTCTCTTCAGCCGCTGTAGAGCCTGGTGTACCTGCTGGCCAACTTGCAAGGTAGGATGGACATGTGCTAGGTATCGAACGCGCCATCGCGTGCCAGGCCCAGCGAGCGTCGCCGGTCAGATGCACAACGTCGCCACTGTGGACTCGGATGGCAACGCTTCTGGGCGCATTCTCACCCTCTCCATCATCTTCTCCTCGTGCCATGATGAAGATACCATCACATCCGACGCTGAAACTTGCAAGCGCTCTCTGACACTGCTCGCTGACGTCGCGATGTACAGGCATAAAGTCTTTAGCTGAGTACATCAAAACCACACCAGATTCTGGCCGGATATGGGGAAAGAGACCAGTCACAAGTGTTGATAAATCTGCCGGGAATGGCGTTGCATGCTTTGCATAGCTACGAGTAGGCCAATCGTATTGCTCGCCGAGTGTTAGCCAACGAAGCTTGGTGTACAAAAATTGCTCGTTGTTGAGAGGATTCAGCTTGTTTTGAACTTTCGGCATTAAACAATCCTCCGGTGCTGCTCGTTGACGCAGAAAAAAGCTACTGTCGAATCGCAGTTCGTCTGATGTGGGTTTCGGAGGGTACGGGATATCATAATCCGCCTGGAGGTTGATCTTGTGGCCTGCATCTGCCAGATCTCGGTGCATGAGACATGACGTAAAAAGGACTTGTGTCTCAGGGGGAAGAAGCCCAGATATAACCTGAAGGCCAGGGAAGTCGCGATGTTCGAAGATCTGCGCATCTTCTGCAGGTATAGCGAGTGGTTTGCCCCTTGCATATGCCTGGCAAGCAGCTTCAATCTGAGTCGCGGGAATGATGCCTGCAGGACGCCAGATGTCTTTGTGATCTTCACTAAACTGGTCGCGTTTGCTAAGGTCAAAAATGTCTGGGTCGGTGTCTAGGTCAGCTTTACGCATGCTTTGATATCGCCAATGTTCCTTCTGAATGAATTGTGGTGGTGTAGCATGCGTATCATGATGCACCGAGCCCTTCTGCCATGACTGTCAGCCGAACCCGTTCAGTCCGAAGGGGCGACATACGAACGCGCTCGATGGCATCCGTGGATAAGTCCATTGCCGCGGTAGGGGGATAGAAGAATTGTCGAATGTGGGGGCGAACTGGCACCTGGATTGATGATTGTCTTCTCAATGAGACATGTATTCGCCTCAGGAATTGCATCAACTGCAGTAAAAGCGTGGGAAAGGTCGAAACTGAGATGCACAGAATGCTACCTAAGCTGCATAATTGGCATTACAGGAAGGCTAGGCCTACGAAAAGAATGAGTGCGTGAGGTGGCTCGTGCACCTGTCTTATCGATAAGCAGCACTGCCTTCGACTAGTGCTTTTCGCATTCTCAGTCTAGACACGTCTTTGACGGCGATCTAGCTAACACACGATGGGCGTTATACTGCCGCTCACTGTCGTCGCTGATATTGGTAACTTCGAATGGTGAATGAAGATGTAAGACATCTATCCCGTGCGAAAACATCGCAACATGATATCAGTTAGCGTATGACGCAAGTGCAGGTGAGAAGACGTAGAGAACAGGGTCTTTTGTCTAAGAAAAACAAGGACTCTTCCAATACTATACTTTCACACTCCTTGGTTTGCTACCTTGAACTGAGCGCTAACAACCAGTCATCTCATCATTTTCTATCTGATAATAGAAGACATTGACTAAGGGCTTTACTCTACCGCGCTCCGTTCAGATCCTTTGATTGCGCCGCCCCACCGTTCGTCATCGTCGCCGCTGAGTGTGCTTCGTCATTTACCTCGATCATCACAATGCATGTGCACGTTGGGGCTGTTGTACCTCCGGCCTGTCTCTGGAACATGCTACCGGTAGTATTGAAAACGTATGGCCTCTCGAGGAGTTCGATAATATGGAGGTGGTTTTCGGACACAAAACACGCTTCGTGTATATTTCGATGGCGTGAGCAATCTCTTCGGGATACACGAAGCTGGACTAGACGATATCAGTAGCTTCCGGACCGAAACCTCAAAGGCTACAATACCTGCATCTACCAAAGCTTGAGTGGGCTGGGGTTCTTCTTTATCTGCCCACATACCAACACAGTCGAGGTCACTGCGATGCACTTGCATAGCGGTGCCAGCGGGTTCGTTACCATGTTCTTCGGCAGAGTTCTCGTGCCCATGAGATAACGACGGGAGATGTACTTGGCGATCATTTTGAAAAGAGCCAGGACCAATGGCTGATACAACCACTGCTGTCGGTACTGAAAAAGCCATCCTGTTCTTCAAGATTCCAAAGGAAATGAGAAAGACTACCCACTACACTTCAACAGCGGCGCGTGATGCGCTACTTATACTTCACATGCTGTGACATTGGCTGAGATACAACGAGCCACTCTTCCTCAGTGTAGAACACACGCTCATTGCGCAGCCCCAATATTGACCACGACTGACAGCACGGAGTCGCATGACTCGGCCTGTTCATTCCGCCATCTGTTAGTACCCTAGTGAGCTAGCTGTATGTAGAAGGTTTAGATCTTTGTTATGGAATCGGGGATACGGGTTAGGGGCCGCTACGGGCTCTTGTACCTATCAGGCAAGAGTCGGAAGACACCTATCCTGGTGTGGGATCGTCGTGGCTGTGGATACAGAACCCAAGCGAACTTCTCGAATCAACAGACCCATGACCATGGAACTCATCGCAGCTTCCGCGGCCGAATCAGACAAGAGAATTAAGAGGCTAAGATGGGTCTGCAGACATGAGCGCCTGCCGTGTGGTGTCATGCATCGGATGTAGCCTTGCTCACGCGGTGAAACAAACTCGTTCCATGGACGAGTTTGTTTTTAGTTACACGCGAAGTAGGGATCGGCATCCCGAGCGATTGATACAGTCCAGACACGCCCAAGATAAGGCAGCTGGGAAGCCGAATGTTTCCGCTACGTAGCTCGAGTGAGCAATGCATCGGGCAAGAACCGTTAGGAGTGAGCTTGTACCAAGAAAGATGCGGTCTCTTCAACACGGAACCGCAAGCCGCATTCAGTTACTTTTTATCATGCTACATGCTCGAACATGATTACCAAGTACTCAGTGGAGCAGAAAAACATGCAGTAGTACTTGAAGATCGGGTCATAAAATCCCCTCCCAAGATTAAAGTTACGTTGCCGAAAATAGTGAGAGACTGCCTTAGGCATGTATATCTCTCAATCTGGCCTTGATCGGTGTAGATAGGGGTCATGATGACAATGTGGTAAGGTGGTCATTAGGCAACACTCATTGTGTAAGGTACAGACCGCTTGAGTGGTAGAAATCAGGCTATGTATATGGGGAAGGGTGCCGGCCCTCAAGGGTGCAGAAAATCTTGCAAGGCCTGAGCAGCCTTGTCGGTCCAAAGAGGAAGGAATGGGACGATGAGCCGCTTCCCCGTAGATTCTATCGTTGTTTAAGAACGTCACCGGGTAAAACTTCGTAGTGTCACCCAATGACACACTGCTGTACACTTACACAGCCTTGTTACCTAGACAGGAGGCAGGACCACACAACCCGATCCCCCGGGCTTAGTTGCATGCAGCCGTTCTTCTGGAATCTTTTGGCCAGTCTTAGTATGGAGAAGTAGCAAAATTTTACGAGAACTTGGCCGTAGCGAAGTCTACTTCCGCAAACTCAAAGACCAAAGGACCGCGGTGTCTCATTGTAGCCACGCGCTTGTCGCTGAAGTTACTCGAAAGCTATTCTCAGATGTGCGCAACGGGAGCTGCGTACGTGTAAACAAGTAGTGACGAAAGGCTTGCGACTTCAGCGGTACTGTGCACCTCTTCTTCGGACGACAATTTCTAAGTAAGCTGATAAGGTCTTGGTGGCGTCACCGCCGGTTTGCGCTTTGACGGAAGCTTCTTCTGGTGGGCTGCTGCAGTCTTCTGAAAGCCTGCTGTTGATAGAAGGTGCCGATTCCTGGGCACACGCGGCCGTGGAGCGCCTAACACTGGCACGCTGGGCTCAGGCTGATTGCCGGGTTAGCGGTAAAACCTACATCCTTCTTTGCAGGCAAATGGCTGAAGATTTTCGCAACCAAAAACTCAAGTCGCTATCGTTCGTGCGGCGTGGCAGCGTGGTGGATTTCTGGTTGCAGACCTAGGCGCTCCCCCTGCGTCTGTGTGCATGAGGGTGGGTGAGCAGCTTATTTGTTTGGTTATGAAGACGCCGTGGACGGAAAAGACAGGCCCTCATACCCACAACTACTTTCCTCGTGCAGATCCTCCAGATCTCCCATGCTTTGTAGTTTCGGTTTCGTATCCGATGATAATGGATCAGAATACCATTGCATGTCTGCAGTCTGCTCACTTACTACCAACCGCGCCACCTGGCCAGCAAGGATAGGAGACGCGATTCCTTTGACATGCATCTTTCGCAATCCGAATCTTTCGCATGCAGTCGAAGCTTATTAGTTTATGATCATAGCCGCAATTGCACTGTGGCGCGGTCTGAGACTATCGCCTTGACTTTAGTACTGTGCCTCTGCCGAGTGAACTGCAAGGTATCGTTACGAATGTCGACATGTTCGACAGCGATAGAGGATTGGCTAGATCTCTAATCTCAGAGAGACCTAGCATGTTTCATCTCTCAGTGGGAGTGAGCACTAAAACTGTAGGCGGGCGTGGTGTCTGTTGACCGGAGGCATCGAAGGACCGAGTAATTCAGCTGGTAGTTTCACTTCCACACCGCCTCGTACGGCGAAGCCCTGCTGGCATCGTTTATGTACCTCAGTAGATTAGCCAGGCCTGTGAAGTAGATATTGGCCCCTATGTTGGCTGCCACTAGAGGTTTCCGTGGAACCGGTTTGCCGCGTATCGTGCAACCGAGTTTGGGAACAGAATCGAGATCACGGGGTTAGATGATGAACTGCGATGCCTTTCACGACCGAATTTTGTCGCACTGCGGCCACGGTGTTTGCGATTCCATACCACGACGCTGTGATCATCTCAATGTTGGCAAGATTCTCTTGACTATTGTAGAGCATATGAGTGCAAAATAATGCTCTACATGTCAGATCGAAGATGTTACAGTAACTCAAGCAGCGATATGGAACCATTTGCGCGAGGTTTTTGGGCCAAGAATCTCCGAATTCCTAATGCGTCGGTGAACAATCTTGGAAGCGACGTTTAGAAACCGTACCAAAGAAGGTCTGTCCTTGGCTTCAGGGTTCATTCCTATTCAGCTAGACTAAGCAGCAAATACTATCTGGATGGCCTTGACGAGATGAATATCATACCTATCGTTCGATCGACCTTGAAGTAACGACGCAGACTTGTAGATCATAGCGTCCACTCCCGCACGTAGATGCGTTATTGTTGAACATAGTGGCGACATCATGTGATATACTGTATCAAAGCCCACGTACCTTATCACGCTACCGACACTGGAAGCGATCGCTTACTGTGGCGCAAACGGCGGCCGATAAATCTTTTGCCTAACTGGATATAATTGGCCAAGTAGATCGTGAAAATACATCGTATGCTACAAGGATAGCCGTACTAACAATCGCCCAGTTTTGAACTTCAAAAGAACTCCATTAAGATTTCAGTGCCGAGGAGGTTCCTTGGCGTAGCGACCGTCGCAACCTGGCACTTTGCAAGAAAGAAACAACCCCATCCAGAAACTACCCATACCAGGCTTCATAATAGTCTTTACTCAAACGGTTTTCTTACTGCCGATCCGGCAGGGTCTCCTTTGTCGTTGCGTGGGGGAGTTGGATTGGCTGCGGCAGCAACTTTAGAAGCTCGAATAATGGCATCGATCTCGCGGGACATATTGTCACTCCCAGGTCCTCCAGAAGACGCACAAGTGCACCCACTGCTTGCTGAAGAGCCGATACACCAATCTTGCGTCAAAGTCAGGGGTGGGGTGTACTGGAGCATCTCGCGTGTGAATGTTGCCGACTGAGATCCAGATTGCCGAACGTCGGTTGCAAGCACAGCCGCATGATATGGACATGGGGCGGTTAAAGGTAAACGCCGTATTTCGTTGGCCACTGAAGAAGACATGGTGTGGTTGTGGTTTTCGATAGAGAAGGCATCGCGCCTACTGCGACTGCCCATATTTACAAGGTTTGCGAATCAAAATGACCGTGTTGGTGGTTGGTACTGAGTGCTGAAATGTAAGCCAAAGTCTTTCGAGACAAACCTCAAGGGAGAACACCAACATCGAACTCACCAGCAACTTCGATAAGCTGGATTTGGAAGGTTGATTTGATACTGGAAAGTCTAAGGTGGTTGATGGTAATGTTGATATCGGGTCAGTACTGGGACTTTCTAAGTCTATATGGTGCTCATGTATCCCAGACTTGAGGCCAGTGTGGTTGCTTTGCACGTGTTCGTATCTTTCACTCCTTTTCTGACGCCCTGTCTTGATCTATTGCGGCAACGTGAAGCATGGAGCTTCACTAGCTCTGGCCGTTTTGGTAAGAGCAGCAATGAGCCAGGGCATGGTACAGGGTTGTAAGCTGCATCGTTTACTTGTTACCCAAGTTGTTGGATTGTGATGCGATCAGGTGGCGTTTCTGCTCCTGGTGCTGGTGTGAAATCTTTCGAGCTTTACCTCTCTTTAGGGTCTTAGTACTCACAATCAAATTCGTTGTACACAATGGTATTAGTCGTCTGTCATCATGATAATAGAGTATCACGGGTACCTTCTAGATGCGTGAGGATACCAGGCTAGACGTCCAATAGATCCGAGTCTTATAGTACTGGTAGACCAATCGCAAACTTCCGACTCAGCCGTGCATCTTCAGTTTCATGTGTGTACCTTCAGCGGAGAAAGGGGGTAAAGAAGCCAGGACATGGACCATAAAACTCACAGACAGCCAAGGAAGAGCATGGGCCGACTCAAGTGCTCCCGTTTAGGGAAGCGTAGATGCAGGTCGCATACCCTCAGCATGGGGACGCAGGCTCCAGACCATGTCGATCTCGCAAATGTATGGGCTTGGTGCGTATCAACCCCTACCTATCCCGTTGTCAGAGATTCGTGGCGAGGGAACTGAATGTCTTGCGGACGAAACGTGTTTGCGCTAAGCATGCAAATAAGATATCCGAAAAGACGCGAACATCTGCAGCATCGAACAAGACCCGCACTTGCGATGGCATGTCCAGGATTATAGCAAGTGCTGGATCCACTGGCAAGCCCTCAACACTGCTCAGTCCAAGATAAGCACTAGCATTGTAGCGGTCCTGCAGCCAGTTCTGGCAATACCCCTGAGGAACCCATCTGTAGGCCTAGTCCCAGAGCTATAGGCAGGACAGTGGATCTAGCAGGATGCGAGTGTTCACACGTCACACCCCCGATCTAGCTGACAGATGACAGATGCAGGTACCAGTCCCCAGAACCATATTCTTCGGGCGCTCGAAGCACATACGGTAAAGTCTTGGCCACCTGAGATATGGGTCGGCATTAGTAACACACTCGAAAAGTTGGCTAAAAATGAGTCCTCGAGCATTCAGTGATTGTCCCGCCTTCCCTGGTGCTGTAGTCGTGACAGATGGTATGGACCATCATCTCATCATCAAGAGGCTCATACGGGTCCGTTTGGCTTCAATCGAGGACTTTCGATCCCATCATGAGTGCATTTCCGAAGTTCCGGAGGGTTCCAGACAACGAGCCAAACAACGCTGGAGGTGCAAAGCAGATGGAACTGTTGTCCGAAGCGTCGCAGATGTGAAATTTGCGTGGAAGGAAATTAGGCAAACGTCCGTGCCATCGCGTAGCATGTCCAGGTGATCGTCTGATCCTGATACCCAGCCATGGCAGATGTAAGATTGTTCCTGCATCCGATTTTTGCCATGGTGTTTGCTGCCAATGCCTCGATTCGCTCAGACGGTCTGTTTCAAATGTACCTCGTAATTTCCTAACAAACTATATGAAAAAACATCCATGAAGACAGTAGGCGATGCAGTAACAAATGCTCAAGTCTGAGGGCAAAGACCATGTGCTATCCCACTTAGGGCTAGGCATGAATGCGTTGTCCTACACACCATCAGACTACGCTTCCAACGCCCTGGAAACCGGTGAAAAAGGCCCCAGCCAACGTGCCGATCGTGGTACTGAAACACGCAGATGAGGTAGTGATGGCGATTTGGAAATGAAAGGCCTGGTTACTTCTTCATTTCCCGTGTTCAGCACTGTGTCCGCACGTTGTGCCTCCATACCGGTGAGGTCGCTAATTTTCGTGGCATAACGAGAGCAAGCATGTTGAGTTTGGTGGCTGTGAATCAGCTGCGAGGGCTGTGGTAATCCACAGGCGCATTCATGTCGTATTGAGAGCGTAGACGTGTATTTGACACCTTCGCACACGCATGGCGCAGTCCTGCAGCCCCGCTAGAGTTACGCAGACAGTATACAGAAAGCCTGCCGTCGATGAAAGAACGCGTTTCGAACGGAATACGCGGAATGAAAGCGATGGGGACCGGACTGCCCATGGGGTTGCTGTTGTATTCTGACGTGGGGAACCGCGATGTTTTCGCGACCCGCCAGCGGAATATGCCGCTCCACAAGATCGGGCGCGGGGGAACCGAGGCCCCTGTCAGGAATTGTTGGAAGCCTTGGATAGCCGTAAACCTCAAATTTTTGCCAACTCTGATGCTACGGCTCCTAGAAGCACTTCTCACACCGGCTGCGACACGATGAACGGAACGAAAGGCACCAATGGCAGTCCAACAGGCCCCAAACTCCTGTGGGAGCATCCTTCTCCAAAAACGACACCCATGTACCAGTTCCTCAAATTGGTGAATGAGACACATAATCTGCGGCTTTCCAACTACTCGGAGTTACACGCATGGAGTATCAACAATGTCAACAACTTCTGGCAAAGAGCCTGGGATTTCGTGGGTGTCAGGCACCAAGGAACCCCAACATCAGTCAGTCATCTTGGGTTCACGCACATTGTATTTGCTTACAATGGATAGGCTGTGGATGACGACGCGCCCATGTTTCCTCGTCCAGATTTCTTCCCGAGAGCAACACTCAACTTCGCCGAGAACCTCCTATTCCCCACCGCTACAGTCGATGCCTCCTCACCTGCTGTTATCGCCGCAACAGAGACTACAAGGGAGACTGTGACATGGCAGGAGCTCAGGGACAGAGTAAAGCTGTGCCAAGCCGGAATGATACATCTGGGCCTCAAGGAAGGCGATCGAGTGGCTGGCTATGTCGCGAACCACACAAGCGCCTTGGTAGCAATGCTAGCTGCGACGTCGCTGGGAGCAGTGTGGACAGCAGTCAGCCCAGATACAGGCGTCCACGCTGTGCTCGATAGATTACGTCAGATCGAGCCGGCCTTGCTCTTTGCAGACAACGCTGCCTTCTACAACGGCCGCAGCCATCCAGTACTGCCCAAGGTTGCCGACATTGCGCGGGACCTGCCATCTCTCCAAGCTGTTGTTATCTTCCCTACTGTAGCCTCAGTACAGTTCGATGTCACCTCCATTCCTGTAGAATCTGGCAAAACCTACGATTACGCAACATTTACAGCACTGAAGTCAATGTCAGAGCTTGTCTTCAAGCAATTGCCGCCAGACCATCCGGTATATATCTTGTATTCAAGTGGCACGACAGGTGCACCCAAATGCATTGTCCATGGAGCCATCGGTACACTACTTCAACACAAGAAAGAGCACATTATTCACTGCTCGATGACACCCCGATCACGGCTCTTCTACTTTACAACATGTACGTGGATGATGTGGCATTGGTTGGTCAGTGGACTGGCATCAGGAGCTACATTGGTTCTCTTCGATGGTTCTCCATTCCGCTACGTAAACAAGTCCGACCCGTCGACTTCCGTTGCAGACGACCTAGCGATGCATCGTCTGATAGATGAGTTCGGCATCACCCATTTCGGCACATCCGCAAAGTACCTATCCATTCTGGAGCAAAAGTCCGTCGACCCGTCTGCTGCTGGACTTGTCATGGACAAATTGGAGGCGATCTATTCCACGGGTTCGCCACTCGCCCCTTCGACATTCTCTTATGTATACTCCGCCTTCCCCTCGACCATCAATCTAGGCAGCATTACCGGTGGTACGGATATCATTTCATTGTTTGGCGCACCGAACCCACTTCTACCCGTTTATGAAGGCGAAATCCAAGGCGCTGGTTTAGGCATGGCGATCGCTGCGTATGACTACACAGGTGCCGACGTCTCAGCCTCGGGCGAACCGGGCGACTTGGTCTGTACCAAACCCTTCATATGTCAACCGGTGGGGTTTTGGGGATCAGAAGGAGATTCAAAGTACTGGAAGTCATATTTTGACAAGTTCACGAACGAAAAAAAGCAGCCCATCTGGCATCACGGCGACTTTGTGCGCTTCAATCCTGCCACTGGTGGGCTGTGGATGCTCGGACGCAGTGATGGTATACTCAAACCTGCAGGCGTACGCTTTGGATCAGCTGAGATATACAATGTGGTGCTCCAACATTTCCCGGAAGATGTGGCAGATGCGCTTTGCATTGGGCGAAGGAGAGAGTCTGATACAGATGAGACGGTCGTGCTTTTCCTGAAGATGGCAGAAGGCCGTCAAATTTCTGACGATCTTGTTGGAAAAATAAAGACAACGATCAAACAAGCACTCAGTGCGCGCCATGTTCCCGCCGTCGTGGAAGAATGTCCAGAGATACCTGTTACCACTAACGGGAAAAAGGTAGAAGGAGCTGTCAAGCAAATACTTTGCGGACTCAATGTTAAGACAAGCGCGAGCGTAGCCAACGCCGAATGTCTGGACTTTTACCGGGACTGGGCAAGGACGCATTGATCGTTCAATCGAGATCACTTTGCCCTATACTGAACGCCGTTCAATGCTCCCATCCCATCTGTCGATTACTTGTCTGGCTTGAAAGGCAGCGTCCAGCCGCTTATGGTGGTGATTCAGGTGTGATCAACGAGCCAGAGCCGCGTCCAAGGATCGCCCGACAAGCAAGTCTCACTTCATCTGCAACCATGCCAGCCCGTCACACGTTAGATGCTCGGGTTTGAGCTTAGTTACACGATGTTGTTTAAGGTGCGGGCGAAAGGACAGCGCTAGCAGATCCTTTCGGCCACAATTAACACCTCGTACTATCTGAACTACTCACGAGCTTACGCTCTTGCCTAGTGTTGCCAACCAATCCTCCCATAGCCACATCAATTCCTTCTTATTACATCCATTGCCGCTTCTTTCAGAAGTTCTCAGCAATCATCTTGTCAACTTTGGTACACAATGCATCGACGATAGTTGTCTCGGCCTCGAATGTAGCCTTGACAACACCCATAAACCCTTCCGGATAACGCACCAAAACAGCGATGGCACCGTCAGTCGTACCCACTCCATCTCCTGCCCAGCCTCTTGTAACCACAAAGATATCGGAGGTACTGATGTTGTTCTTGGTGTTCGCAATATGATTGTGCGCGAGGAAGGCGATATTTTCTGAACGAGTGAGTCAGTGTCGTAGGTGAGATGGGCTCTGGCACATACGAGCTAGAACGATGGCAATACTCTCAAGCTTAATTGCTCGATTGATCGCTCCGACCTGGTCTACAAGATCGATTTCTTCATAACACTCGTTGCGGAAGGGACGTAAGAGGTCGTAGATGCGCTGTTCGAGCGCACTTGCGGGCTGAGGCGCAGCCATCGGGCAATGCGGTTGCGGCTCGAGGTTTGAAGAGAGTGCTCGTTGTCTACAGGCGGTATTGCGAGTGAGAGAGCTTGGAAAAGCGGAAGATACAGTAGAGCATAATGCCAAGCCATTGCAGTTACACATACAAACGTTGACTGTACAGTCTAGATGCTCATCCTCACCGCTAATATCACATGCTGCAGTGCCTTGACATCGCCCCAGCTCTGCTCTTGTCGATATATCCCCATCTGTCACACGCATCTTTGAGACTCTTCCAATCGCCCTGTCTGTCTCCAGATCCTCCAATAATAGCACCTGTTGCTGACCTTGCGTTTTCCTGTCTTGCTAACACACTTTCTCCCCTTCCATCTCTGAAGAACTCTCTGGCACCCTATCACACTCCAGATCAAAACTTCTACCATGCCATTTTCATCGTCCTTGTTGATACAGCAGCACATAATTGTGTGTGTTCATCCCGCTTCGTTGACGAACACACCCGAGGCGGCTGATCCTCATATCCCTTTATCCAAGAATACCAGTTTTGAGAGCCTTCAGAGATGTCTGTTGGGGAAATCACTCTACCGTAGGTGATTGGGGGTCATCGGAAGATGAAGGCTGGCTAAATACGTTCTCTTTGCATGTTGGCCAGGTTGTGACTGGGGTGAAGTGGATGGATCAAGTACATACCACAAAGTATCATGAACAAGCGTCTTTCTTGTGATGATGATGCGTCGTTGGTAGGATTCTTGGAGCATTCATCGCAGTAAGGCTGTAGAAGTTGTATAGTCGCTGTTCAGGAAATTCAATGGTCGTATGGGGCCGATTTACTGCGCGAAATAGGCATATTTCAACAGTGCAGATGATGAACTGACAATCGTTGAGAACGTCGTTCCTATTGTTATGGTGGAAACAGTGGGCCCGGCGGAGTATCTGCGCGCCAAGAGAGAAGTACATGTCACTGTAAGAATCCAAGTTGGTGGTGAAGTACCGGTACACGGCCTTGAAGCTTTTCAGATGAGCTTCTACGTCTTCTCCCATACCTTCTTTTCTTCCTAGACACTAATACGTGATGTGAATCCTTCATGCTATCACTAGCCGATATCTACCGCGTATTGTAGATGAACTGACACCAGGTCGTGAGAACGGTGATAGAAGCGAAGCTTCACGTAGTCGGCTAACAAGTTTCTTCCAAGAACTTTTTGTCCAACAAGGGAGCATCGACCAAATTGCTTGCTAGCCCTCGAAGTCACCATATCCGTCATTTCCTTCCTTCGCCAGGATATCTTTGATAGCCTTGTCCACTTTCTCTCCTAGTCCGATGACGACATTTTGACCCCAATTTACCTGCTTCCACATCACGACTGTAAACTTGCCCGGGCCGTCGTGAATACAGACTGTGGCCTTGTGGCCGACTTCACTGTTGTTGGGTCCACGAACGTCGATCACGGAAATTGAGATCTGGGAAGCGCGGACACTAGGACCGGCAGTGTATTTCACCAGAAATGTGAGATTTCCTGAACATGGTTCATCAATTATCTGAATCTGAAGAAGTAGGAGCTACTCACCAGCGATGGTCTCAACGATATGGGAGGGAAGTTTATCGCGGCGAGGGTTCAGATATGCGAACATGTGCTGCAGCAGAGGGTCGCGGATCGGTGTAGGAATAGCCATACTGAAAAGACGTATGGTGTAAATACTGGGTATGTTTGAAGGAGTATCAGCTGCGGCGAGGGAAGGTCGAATAATTCGGGGCAGTTGGTCTGATGAGTTGGCATCGTTGCTAAACAAAAGCGGGGCCAGCACACGTCTTCACCAATCAGAGACCAGGCGAACTCGGGGTTAAGATGATGTTGGTATAAATTTCGTGTGTTGTCGTTTTGATACCAATATGATGCTAAGCCACCTGTCACCGGCACCCACCGCCTGCTTCTCGGTGCTGCCTGCCCAGGCGTATACCGTCGGAAGAAATACAATACCAAATGCTTGTTAATACACAATAGAGCCGCCTCATTAGCCTCCAACGATACAATAAAATATACATGCAATACCAAATAGATAGCCTTCCTGACCCACACGTCAGCACTTGACCGCGACGCATTATAACATCTACAATGCTCATCACCTTCCCTCTTTGATCTTGACGCAATCAGCAAATGCGGGAAAGTTGCCTCTGAAGCTTGGGCCCAGTGTCCAGTTGTTCAAATCACGGAGGTGCGTTTCGAAAGCCGGGTTGATGAGCCATTGATCGTCTTCCTTGGGCAGTGGGCCTATGGATGTAATACCGGCGGACTTGTTCGCAGCAGGGGGCTGTGGGGTCGAAGGGTCTTGCGGTGAGCCGGCGTTTACATGTGTGGAGAAAGGCGAGGACACGGATACGGACGAGGTTGTCGAGAGGGTGTGGGTGTGAACTTTTGAGGCCGGGAGGAGACAGTCGCGAGGCTCATAAGGCCAATTCAGCGAGATGGTAGTTGTGAAGGGAATGAAGAAGTTCTCGAAAGATACGGGCGGCTGGCTAGTGACGAGTCTGTCGCGAAGGCGAGGCCTGGGGTAGGTTAGCCGTGCTCTCTTTCCAAGCAGTTCGCGGAGTAGCGATTGGTACGTACCATGGAAGATGATCAATCCACAAAGCGTGGGCAGTGAAGAGCTGAGAAGGTCGCGGCGTGACCCAGTGCGGCAACCGATCATAGTTTTCCTGCGTGGGTTCAATCTGCCAGCGCATGACCAGGAACATGATGAAGACTATGGCAACCTGCTCTGGCCTACCACAGATGTCTGGAAATGTGCGTAGAATGTCGGTGAACAGCTTCGACAGCGGATGGGCATCAACTACACGGTCGGGATACGCCAGTGAGGTGAAGTTTGGGTACTGGGGTCCGACTAGTGTCTTCATGGGCACACCCTCGGCAGCGCGATTTTGCCGATCTTGGAGGAAGTCGAGCAATATGACATCCAGGGGACATGTTGCGGCAAGGTTTCTTGGGAGTGTGAGGTGGGCAACCATGCTCGGCGCATACATGGCATGCTGGCTGCTGCTCACATTGCTGGGTCGCGGCTGCTGCGGTGGAGGCAGGTTCGGATCGACAGCTCTCCTTTGCCCGTTGTCGAGGATAAAATCCACGCCCAGACGTTCGTCGAAGGGCATGTCAGCCTGCAGATGGGGGGTTCGCGACTGCTCGAAATGGGGACCGGGGCTGCCGTTGGAGTAGCGGCGCAGGTGGCTGTTTGGCGCATCGCTAGGATACAGCCAAGCTCTTCCTCCCTCGGTCACGCTCGGTGAATGCACGCCGTTCTGGGGTGAGGCCGTGGACAGCTCGTGCGAGGCAATGTGGAAGGGTCGTGGTTCGGCAGGTTGCACAGGCGCGTCGCGCTGTTGGTGAGGGTGGATGGGGAGGGGCGACCGTTCGGCGGCGGCTGCCAGTTCTACGTATCGTCAGCTTGATTCCTTGCCAAGTGCCTTGTCAACGTGCCATTGAGACCGCCCGTGGCACGAAGGATGGGCTGGATGATGCTCAGGACGCTCTCCAGCCTCTTCCTGATATCTGCGTTCTCCGCCTGGACCGCCTCTTTCTCGCGGAGGACGACTTGCAGGTCATGGTACGGCTGCTGGCTCTCCAGGTCCCGGATGCGCTGATTGAGGCGATCGATCTGGTTCTTGGTGCGCTCTCGAATGGCACGTTGAGCTTCGCGGTCGTTTGCGCGCTTGCGGGCAAGCTGTTCAGGCGTGAGATTGGCCACGCCACGCGAATTGGGGCCAGTCCTGCGCTTTTTGTTGGGCTGACCATCGCCCGAGCCATCGTCTCTAGGGGCCCCTTCGGGTGTATCTGCCTCCGCCGGCGACGCCATGCTGATCATGGATGTGTGGGTTGCGATTCAGGAGGAGAATGGGCAGCCCCGGTGGCAGGATTCTCCCGAGTCATGAGCTGGGACACTACCGCAGCGATGACTTTTGCGAGCTGCAGGTTAGAGCTCATGGGGCATAGTACGGGGTAACCGAGGAGCGATTGCGGGGACTATCGCCAACCTCGGCATGCTCATCGGATAATGCCCTCCGCACCTGCACGATTAGTCTGCGACTCCACTTGTACCATGGGGTAGCTAGCTGAATTGTTGTTATGCTTGTTGTTGTTGATCATGGTGGGAGCGTCCTGTTCCCATCGCATGTACCATCACAACGATACCATGGCAGATCAGAATGTAAGCAAACTGGGCATCGCTTCGGCCACTCTCAAAGCCAGTATGCACTACGTCATCTCCTCAAAAACAAATACTAATCTTGCCAACAGTGGGCTCAGCTCTCCAACGCTCCGTCACATCACCATTCAAAGGCGACAATGGGTCCAACACGTACTTCAAAGATGTCATGCTTGCCATGTTCCGAACTAACCTAGGGAACCTCGATCTTGCGCAAGACCGGTACACAAACGGCGCATCGTCAACTCCCACCTACATGCAGCATGCGGAGAAATACAAGTTCGTACCTGATAGCATCAAGCTACCTAGTGGAACACAGGCGCATTGGCTGGGTAGCCCGAGTGCGAAGACGATTTTCGTATACTTTAATGGCAAGACGGGACACTCAGAATAGCTAAAACTCAACTGACATGATTAGGTGGTGGCTATGTGACGCCGTGCACTGCAGGCCATATGCTGTGGCTCGACGACTTCCAAAAGTCCCTCGGTCCCGATGTATCCGCACTCCTCCTCGCATACGACCTCGCACCCGAGGCAAGGTATCCCAGCCAGCTGAAGCAAGCAGTCGAGCTACTTGATTACCTTGTGCATACAAAAGGCCGTAACCCTTCCGATCTGATATTGGGCGGCGACTCCGCAGGCGGCAATCTTGTACTTGGCTTGCTCTCGCACCTCGCACGCCCACATCCTGACATCGCCCCGTTATCCATTCCGTCCAAGATTCACGCGGTACTACTCATTTCGCCGTGGTGCTCTTTGACACAAACAAATACACCAGCATTTGTCACAAACGCGCAACGTGACATGTTTGACGCGCGAACCCTCTCTCGTTGGGCATCAGCATTCCTGGGCTCCGACTCTCCATTTGCCGGCGATTTCTACAACGAGCCTGTTCTAGCAGCTCCAGAATGGTGGGAGCCTGTTGCCCATGTCGTAGAAGAAGTCTTGATATGGGCGGGCGACAACGAAATCCTAAAGGATGGCATCGAGGCATTTGCGAAGAAATTCACACAAGGTTTTGGTAGCAAAGGTGGTCTAGTTACCACAGTTGTTACACCAAAAGCGTGTCACGACGAGATGATCTTCGAACGAATACTGGGATACAAGGGTGACTCGGGCACGGGAAGTCAAAAAGTACTCGAGAGCTGGGTCAGGGCGAAGCTATAATGAACAAACCTAGAATAACATATACTTTTACTAATGATCGATCCATCACGCACGATTGCAATCATCGACACTATGACAATCTGTAGCATATCTTGCCTTACTCATTGTAGTTTTGCTTGCGTATGCGCAGTTCTTCGGCTTCCCGTGTTAATGAGGGAAACAACCTAGGGCTGAAAACACCATACGTAGGTCTTTCGTAAGAACAGCAAAAATTGAAGCAAGCAAATGCCCATTGTTCTATAATTGATGTTTTGAGAAGCTCGAATTGCATGTCCACCAGGCATCTACGTTCCTCCAGATCTTGCAAGAGGACGTGATGACGACAGTTGCCCAGACCACAGGTTTCATATGACACGAACCTAATGGAGAATGGTTTGTTGTGGCTTGTCGAGTATACGAGAATCCGAAGAGGGACGCAGGGAGCGCCATCGGGCCATTCAGAGACCGATCGTAGACCAGCGTTACTTCGTATAGCTCCTCGGACCCTGAAAGTCGGTACCTCGGAGGCAAACATGTATGTCGACATCCACGATGATCACGTTCGTCTATTGTAATGTGGCTTCTCGCCCCCGTGAAGCTCGCCGCGGAGTCGCTCTACGCCTCATCGTGACGGCATCATCTTGTGCTGACCGCTCCGCAAGCGATACCTAAATCGCCACATGTGGCATTTCAGGCCGCAGCCATAGATAATAACCCACAATCCTGCAGAATCCCACTAGCGATGGCACGAGAAGCATTATGGACTACACGGTCATGACGCGTTGTTTGGAGTGCAGGTAAGACCAGGCTTAGAGGCGTCACCACAAGCGTTACATCAGCATTGATACGTACATAAACTGCTGTAATCAGGCCCTACATCAGAATCATTCAAATACCATTCGACTTGCATCCCGAAAATGCCTTTCACTACTCAACTCCGCACCATCTCCAGACCTTTCATCCAACAATCACACCTTTTCAAGCAAACTTCCATCAGAATGTCTTCAACCAACCAGTACGGACAGGGTGCCTCGCACGCCACTGGACAGAGCGCTGTCCCAAACAAAGTCCAAGAGGCTGCCCCTAAGGGCCTCGAGGAGAGCCTGCCAGAGAGTGTAAGTCTACAACGTCTGTACAGTGCGGCTTGACGCTCGCTAATATGGCCGTAGGTCCACCCCACCGGCAGCAACCCCAACAGCCAATCTACAAGCAAGACCCACGCTCTTAACGATGGCGAGGACTCGGTCGTGCCCAAGAAGATCCAGGAGATCGTTCCTGAATCAGTTGAGCGAGGTAAAAGGTCCTCCGGCTGTACAACAATGCCGCGATGCTGACAACAATGTAGCTCTCCCCAACTCTCTCCACAACACTGGAGACAAGTAAATACACTCTTCAATGGAATTATTCCAGGCAAACTGCCTCTGTGGCAATAGATAATGCATCAATGTTAAAAAGACTTCAAACCAACGTCTTTCGAGGTTGCTATACCGTGTGTTGACCCTGCGAAACGGTACTTGTTCATTTTGAATCGTTTTTCAAGATTTTGAAAGCTTGCTATACCCCATGTATGATCGTCTTTGACAGGTCAATATGCCCGTCAACTGAAGAGTGTACCTGACGCTAACGCCAGGCCGCGGTAAATATGACGTTGATGATGCCCCACACACCCCGCCAGATCTCCAGCCAGATCTTTTCCTAGTAATCATTGCAACACCACGCCACTCTCTAGACACATACGCAATCTATCATGGCTTCCGCAACAGCTGCAGATATCCAGGGACCATCTCATGCCAATCCCGAAGGCCTCAACACATCGGCTAGCACGCAATTTCCCCCTATCAACATTGGCACGCGCAACTCGGTACTCGCCCAAATTCAAGCCCGCGCGGTCGAGAGGAACTTGAAAGATGCCTACCCGGACCGGACCTTCAACATCTGCCCTGTTGTGGTGCAGGGTGATAGAGACAAGATCACACCCCTGCAGCAATTGAGCCAGGGCGAAAACGCTAAGAGTCTGTGGACAGGTGAACTGGAGAGCATGCTGGAGTCTGGCGATCTGGACATCATCGTGCACTGTTTGAAGGGTACTTGATCCAATTCAGATACTACAAGAACCTGACAGGGCAGACTAACAGCCAGCATAGATATGCCAACGCAGCTGCCAGATCACCTCGAGATCGGCGCCATCCTCGAACGCGAAGATCCCCGTGATGCCCTCTTGATCTCCCCTCGTCTGCCCAAGGAGACTACGCTAGCGACCCTCCCTCAAGGTGCTACCATTGGTACGTCGTCTGTACGACGAGCCGCTACATTAAGGAAACTATACCCACACTTGAAGTTCGCCGATCTCAGAGGCAATGTCGGAACGAGGCTGGCAAAGCTGGACGCCGAAGATTCGCCATACTCGGCCATCATTCTTGCTGCAGCTGGCTTAAAGAGAATGGGACTCGATAATAGGATCACACAATACTTGAGTAGCACGAGCGGAGGTATGTTGCATGCGGTTGGCCAGGGTGCTCTGGGCATTGAGATCAGGAAAAACGACAAGGCCATGAAGGACATCATGAGCGGCATCCGATGCGAGCGGACAACAAGAGCCTGTTCGGCCGAACGAGCGCTACTACGCACCTTGGAAGGAGGCTGCAGCGTGCCTATCGGTGTTGAGACATCATGGAGAGGTGGCAAGGGCCTCGCAATCGGTACCCAACCAGCAAAAGACTACGACAAACACGGAAACGCAGTAGAAGAGGAAGAGCCAGATATCGACGACCAAGAACTGGTGTTGAGTGCCATGGTAGTCAGCGTAGATGGCAAGGAATTTGTTGAGTACCAGGCAGCACGAAAAGTGCGAACAGCAGAAGAAGCAGAAGAGATGGGACAAGAGGTCGCCAAGGTGTTGATCGAGAAGGGAGCAGACAAGATACTGGAAAAGATCAACGTGGAGAAGCAGTGGGCAGCTAAGAAGCAACTGGAGGAGCTCAGGGCCAAGGCGGCCAGCTCGTAGGTCGATCACCGGAGTAAGTGATGACTTACAAATCGGTGAAGCACATGGCACTAGATTCATAAAGAAGACACTTTGAGCTCTCTTGCTTTATCCGGCTAACCAGCCTCTGCCACGTCCCATCCAGACACACGCAACCACCTTGTCTATTTGCAGAAGAGTATAAACGACATACTTGTCAATGTTCAACACTTGTAGACGTGAATGAGCGAGCTCACAGTACGAGGAGTTATCAGTCTAAGACAGGAAGTCGATTGGCTAAGTTGTGAATGTATAAACCATGCCTACAAAACGGCTTTTCAGTAAGGAAGTATATTAATCCTCATACCTACTCTCAAGTCCCAAAGCACATATCTGCAAGCGCTGTAGGAACATACCACCAAAAGCATCAATACATTTCAAAGCAACCAGCTCAAATCGTCATACTCGAAGTCATACGCTTAGCTCTACAGCCCTACTCAGGATATGTGTCAAAGACTTTGGACTCAGTACAAAGACTGTAACCACGAATACACTCCAATGGCACGAACTATACGTTGTCACACTATCGACGACGGCGTTCCCGAAACAGTTTGTAGGCTCTACAACGTCAAGAGGCGGACGATTAGATGTCCAGGCATGTGCAATAACTGTGCAGCGTCAGGCGTCGTGGCTGATGAAGGGTTCAAGGGAGGCAGGTGGGATAACCGGTGAGATGCATGCAAGCAACATACAGCAGAGGAAGGATGGCGGGCCACATTAAGCAAGCTCTGCAAAGCAATGGAGATAGGCGGACGCGCTTGTACTCTGCTGTGAAGGCGTCAGTGGTAATAACTATGGCATGGAACACATGACTGGGCACTGTACGCACATGCTTGGTTACGACAAATCATCTAAGATGTGCTTGTCGCACAACAAAAGGACCGTGGGTATCATTGAATGAAAAGAAACTACAAATGCAAGGTCTACATGCTCATTCTTTATTGTTGCGGTTTGTACACCATGCCTCCAGTCCTCGTGTAAGCATCTGTACTCGCCGGACCGGCCCACCGTCTGCTAACCTCCTCTCTGTGTTTGACCTCCCTCTCGTTCTGTACCGTGACACAGCAACAGCAGCAACACCCCTTGAGCAGATCGCTTCCAAAACTGCCATCGAGCTTATACGCACGCCGTATACGTGTTCGTTGTAGCATGGGAAACAGCCACCATAGTCCGCATGACAATCCCATGACTATACAGTGTCCATTAGTGGAGCTATGCCCGAGCATGTCTGTCGGGTCTTTCTTTGCAGATTTCTGAGAAAGGCGGTACGAGGTACGGCCGTAAAGAATGCAAGGACAAAAGAGACCCGTCAGACAGGTTGAAGGATCCGGACTGCACGCACAGAGGCCGTTCGACCATTCTTTAGATTTCTCGAGTTCCATATTCGGATGCGAAATTTGGCCTGGTTGGTGTGCAGCAAAATCCAGTCCGTTGGGACCATGTGCAGCATCAGGAGAGAAGACCGCATGGAAGTTGTTGTTTTGGCCTGATGTAAAGCCGTGCGGTGAGTAGGGCTCGTTTGGATATGGCGATATTCGGTTCGTGGGAGATGTTGGGTCGATCCGTGGCTGGTCTTTGTGCATTGAATTGGCAGAGACAGGAGTGATTGGTGTCTTGTGCGGTAACGGCGAGGTCTGATGTGTACCTGAAGGGGGTGTAGGAGGGATGGGAGGCATGGCATACGTCCGGATGTTTGTATTGATTGGGGACAGATTGCTCATCTGCCGCGCGTGTCTGCTTTGTTGTGTATCAACTTCGGGTCTCTGTTCATTGTGTTGTGGCTGTGGTATCGGAGAGACGGGCGAAAAATGTTGCGTTTGCGAGGTATGCTGAGGCGAGACGGGAGAGACGGGAGGTTTAACGTCCTGCGCGTAAGACGACGGTGTGTAAGCCGTTTGGGATTGGGGCGGAACGACCGGAAGCTGCGCATCGAGCATCGATTGCGGGCGCGGATCAATAGGCGTGTATCCCACTGGCGATGTTGGCAGTGATATTGGTATCGACTGTGGCATAGGAGGATCACTTGGCGAAGACGTATACACAAAGGCGCGCATCTCCGCAGGTGTTTGTGCATAGGAGAAGTGCCTCGATGCATCACTGCTAACTTGGGATTGCTGAGGCTGTGTCGGCTGCTGGTATGGCTGCTGGTATGGCTGCTGGTATGGCTGATGCTGTGGAGTTTGTTGTTGCGATTGTGGGTAGGCCGGAGCATCTTCTTCGGGAGGTTGCTGCCATGAAAACCTGTTGTGTTGTCGGGAGGTCATTTGAGGCTGAAGCTGCTGGCTGTGTCCATGCTGTCGCGGATCCATGATGCGCGTTGGTTCACGGAAAACGTATACCTGCAATCGAGGCGTCGAGAGACAAGCTGTATCGTATGTGAAGCCGCTATTGACTTTGAGTGCAGGGTCAGCGGCAATATCCGGTGGCACAGTTAGCTGTGAGTTGTCCGAAGGTAAGCTGGATTATAGAAAATGATCAAGCCGGGGGCCAGGAGGTCTGATATCAGGTCAAAGGCCTGCACATCAAGTCGGTACATGCACAAGTACGAGGTCCAAAGAAAGCCAGCCCTGCATCAGAGCCGCCTTGCGCTCTGGTTGGCTCTTGGCCCTGCCTCATGTCGTAGGCGAGCAACATAGTGAATAGAGATTCGTAGAGCTCCCGCCGTAAGATGGCCCTCTTTTTAGACATGCAGTGAGGCGCGGGCTTGGCCAATCGAGGCTGGAGTTGAGGTGTGACAGCGTCGCGGAGCGAGATGGCGGGCGCTTACGGGTGGCTCGGCCCAGATCCTCCAACCAATCATGAGGCTGCCTCCTCCACTACGCATTTCCGATGACCATTGTTGGGTCGCGTAGATGGACACTCTCTTGCATGTAGGCAAATATTGTTCATAAGTGGAAACGATGCAGACTGAACATGATGAGCACAGCCTCAGTGGCGCAGACATAGCGGGTCGAACCGTCGATTTGTTTCAAGCCAACGACGCTTGCATCATGGCAACAGCATTACAATTACGCTAACAGCATTCCAGTAATCTTGAACAAATTACCGGTGGATATTGTGGTTGGACTTTGACAGAACTCCGACGCTGCTAGTGAAGTCCCACGACACACTCAAGTATGAAATGATCAATTGATCTGATTCGAGGCTATACAAGGGCAGCGGGTATGCGGCACCGTGGAGGTATTATGGTGATCGAGGTGAATCGGGTGGAGACGACGGTATAATCTATGCGTCCTTGTCCTGTTGAGCCTTTCCACGCTCCTCCTTGTTCTCCGCACCGGGACGCTCGGTAGAGACAGTTCCTTGTAGCTTAGCAGTCTCAGCAACGCCCTCGCCCTTCTTGCTCTTCTCGGGTTGCTTGGAAATCTGCGAAGTGTGTTCGGTGTTGTCGTTGGACAGTCCCTTTTGCTTGCCTGACATCTCGTTCTGGCTCTTGGTCTCCTCCTTACGGGGATCGGGCTGTACCAGTTAGCATGCCATCAACATTCAACCTGCAGCTATACTGACCTTGTCAGATTGGTCAGGAGATTGCGTGTCCTTCTCCTCGCTGTTCTCCTTGGTGGGCTTGGATGGGTTTTGCTGGTCGCTCTTTGGCTCCTCCTTAGATTCCTCCTTGGACTCTTCCTTGGACTCTTCCTTGGATTCCTCCTCGGTCTCCTCCTCAGGCTCATCCTGCTTGTTCTCCTCGCCTACGGTAGATCCGGTACCAGTCTTTTGGGCACCGCCCTCGCCATGTGGGTCGCCGAGAGGGTGGTGTTCGGCGCCGTGGTTTGTATCTTGGTTTACGACAGTGTAGAGACCAACAGCGGTGCCAACTACGGCGGCGGCCATCCTGAAGATCCGATTAGCATCAAGTGTGTATCGAAGACTTGACATAAGAAGTAGGCAATCTGGTTGCTTTACAAAAACGGAATAGTACTTCCACACACACACACCATGCTCTATTTAGAAGCTGTACACTATTCCAACCAAGATACACGCCGCATATCCACGCTCGCGCACACCTGAATCATCGGAAAGCAATTTGACATACCATGGGACATCACTGCTCTTAGCATCGCCCTCGGGACCGTGGCCGCTGGCATATGTTCGGCGTTGGACAGCTCGTTGCCATGGCTGGAGCTCGGCAGTGCGGATATACCTCGCTGGGCGGGCAGCGCGAACTAATGAGGAGGCGCGTAGTGCGGAAGATCTGATGAAAGACATGGTGAAGCTGTTGATGGATCAATTGAAGCTCGCGATGGGCAATTGGTGGCAGAATCGTAGTTGAGATGCGCGCAAGAGGAAGATCACGTCAGGTCGTGAGAATTATCGGTACGTCACCGGAACAGTGCACAATGTGGCCCCTGCTCCCGAGGTCTAGCTCGCGTTCTTGCATCACGTGTGGTCCTCGACATGTTTGATCCGACACTTTTATGGTCTGTAGACGGAATGCACGAAGCTTCGACGTATGTCCGCTCGTTGGCCTTTGTCGTGCTGGTTGGAGCGAGCTGTGTGTCCAGTCAGTCCGGAAGCAGCACCTGTCCGAGTCGGCAGTGGTCAAACACGCCGTAGCTGTCTAAGTATTGTATACAAAGCACGCATATGTACGCTTCACTGCAGGCTTTGTCCAGCAAGCATAGAAGAGCAAAACAGTGCCATGGTTTTACCATGTTGGGAAGCTCAAGGTCCTCTGCGAAGTCAGAGGCCGTGCGTAGGCTGGAGCTCTCGAAAGCAACGCGCAGGCAACAATTGTCCAAAACCTTCCATCGCGCTCTTCCTCTCCCAAACCGGCCCACGGGTACCTCGCCTCGCACAATAAACCAAAGCTCCCTCCCCAGCTTTTCTCTTTGTCTCTCACTCGCCAACCTCTCCACTGCGACTTTGGTGCTGCCCTGCAACCTCAACCCCACCATAGCTGCCCCGCCACACTGCACGCGCCCCAGACTGTGGGCTCACCTTTGTGATACCAGACCTGCGAAGGGCTGCAAGCCTTCTAAACACCAGCGATGGCGCCCTCTTCGGTCCCGCCCAACCCGACCGCCCATAACGTAGCCCAGCTGCTTCCCCGATTCGCCGACGATGACCCCGATTTCCGCTTCATGGCCTTGAGCGACCTACACGATATCCTCCAAGTAGCGCACCCAGGCCTGCTCCTCCACGATGATGTTGTCTCGGCAAAGACGGTCGAGGGACTGCTCACAACACTGGTCGACACCAATGGCGAGGTTCAGAACCAAGCCCTCAAGTGTCTGGGGCCCTTTGTCAACAGGATCAATGACAAGACGCTGCCTGTCATGATCGACAAGCTCTCTACTCTTCCCACAGGCAACACAGTCGACCAGTCCATACCTGCCATGGCCCTGCGAGAAGTCGTCATTTCACTCCCCCGTCCCACCACCGGCGCTGCGCGCAGCAAGTCGGTACTAGATGCATACAGCGCCATCAGCAGGGTCCTGATTCCGCGTCTGATCGGATACAATGTCATACCACCAGCCCAGCAGGGCTTGACTCAGCCGCCCAAGGGCATGTTGCAGGACGACCTGGAAAAGGGCTCAGACAGCAACGCCCTCGATGTTCTCATCGAAGTCAGTCGGTGCTTTGGTTCCATGTTGCAGGATGTGGAAATCCAAGCACTGCAGCAGATTACTTTTGCAATCCTCGAGAACGACCGAGCAAGTTCCATGATGAAGAAGAAGTCCGTCACAGCCGTCTCGGTATTGGCTGGCTACTTTTCAGACCAGCTACTGAGCAATTTCCTTTCAAAGGTCATCGAACTTCTACGTGATCCCCATATCACTCGCAGCAAGCGGAAATTGTACATCACCATTCTAGGATCCATGGCCCGTTCCATTCCACGCAAGTTCGGTCCCTACCTAAAGACACTGGCGCCTTTTGTCCTCAGCGCATTGAGCACGCAAGAGCAAGACGAAGAGATGGACGTCTCGGACGACGAAGGCGAACGCGATCCCGAAATCGACGAGGTGCTGGAAGCCGCCCTTATCGCTCTAGATGGTTTCCTTGCCTCTTGCTCGCAGGATATGCGCATGTACACCAACGAAGCCATCGAAGCAGCAACACGCTATCTCAAATACGATCCGAACCTCGCGCAAGACGATGATGAAGATGACGACGACATGCCGAGTGACGAAGAAGATGCGCTGGAGGGCGAAGACTTTGAAGAAGAGACAGGCTACGATGATGATGAGGACGCGAGCTGGAAGGTTCGTAGGTGTGCAGCCAAGGTGCTGTACACTCTGATTTCTACGCGAAGCAATGGCGATCTCCTCGAAGACGGAACCCTTTATGAGCGGGTTGCCCCAGCACTCATAACGAGATTCAGGGAGCGGGAGGACAACGTTCGTCTGGAAGTCATGGCCACGCTATCCAACCTCATCAAGAAGTCTGGTGACGGCCCCTCGCCTGTCAAATTCTCGGATGAAATTCCTCAAAGCGGGATGATGCTACCACCGCCAAGCAAGAAGCGTCGCCGTGGTGGCAGTGATGCCAGCATGTTTGACCTGCAGGCTAGCTCATCTTTGTCCATGGGCTATGCTTCACCAGCACCAGCTAGTACACCTCCAGTCGGTCCCCGGGCCAGCTTAGCCAAGCTCAGCCCGGACATCGTCAAGGGCATTGCGCAGCTTCTGAAGCAGTCATCATGCCCGCCCACTACTAAACAGGCATGCATCTCTCTAATCAAGGACATCGTTATTACCCAGCGTGGCGGTCTGGATGGTTATCTGAACCAACTCATCAGCCCTGTAGTAGAAGCTGCCAAGGTTGCTGGGGGCACCACAAGCAGTGCTTCCGCCACCGCCAATAGTTTGCGCACTCAAGCATTGCAGCTGATAGGAGCCATTGCCGACACTCATTCCTCCAAGTCCATTCAGCCGTATGTGGCGTCCATCATCGACGCGCTTCTTCTTGGGGTCAAGGACAAATACAGCAAATTGTCTATAGAGGCTCTCGCAGCAACAGAACAAGTTATCAAGGCGCTCACACCTCCCCGAGCAGCCACATCAGGAACGGAGAACCAGCAGCATCTGGAGCAACTATTTGATGCGCTGTTCAATCGGATATCAGCGAATGACGCCGACGTTGAAGTTCGACGGAGTGCTATCCACGTTCTTGGACTGTTACTTGGTAGGAGTTCTGGCGAGCAGGGTCTCCTTTCATCACAGAAGCGAACGTCTGGACTTGAACTTTTAGCGGACCGCCTGAAGAATGAGCTCACACGACTCGCTTCCGTACGTGCTGTTGATTCGGTTGCTGCCCATACCAAGGCGCAAAACGAGTTGTCAGCCAAGTGGGTACAGAATGTCGCACTGGAACTGGCTGCGCAACTGCGGAAGGCCAGTCGTGTGTTGCGTGGTGCCAGCCTGAGCGCCCTTCGTACTCTCGCACTGAACTCGCTGTCGCGGAGCCAGCTCGATAGCCAGACCAAAGCGCAGGTGGTGGAAATGCTGCTACCGCTGCTCAACGCTAGTGACCTTCATCTCCTAGGCCCGGCTCTTATCATCCTGGCTACGTTCGTCAAGGATGATGCGCAAACCACAATGACATCCGACCTCAACGGGGCTCTTTGCCAAGTTGCTCAAGGCTCAATAAGCGGTACGCCGTTAGATGCACTACTCAAGCTAGTGCGTATTATTGGCGAGCAACGCGCTGGACAAGCCTTGATGCAAGCGCTGCTACAACAGGTTGGTGTATCTGGGCATCCAGAGGTTGTCGGCAAGGTCATCGGTAACTTGCTCGTATATGGCGGCGACAGTGTTGGCGTGAAGCTCGAGCAATTCATCACCGAGCTTGAGACTGCTCAAGATGACAAGCGAAAGTGTCTTGCTCTTGTTGTGCTTGGAGAGTCTGCGTTGCGCCTAGGCGCTCAATCTACCGTCGATCCGAAACTATTCATCAAGTACTTCTCTATTAAGTCCGAGAACGTGCCACTTGCGGCTGCTGTCGCGCTTGGCCGAGCAGGTGCTGGAAGTGTCAGCAAGTATCTTCCTGTTATCCTGTCAACTATGGGACAACCCTCTTCTCCGCAGTATCTCTTCCTACACTCCATCAAGGAAATCCTTCAGCACGACGATACAGAGTCGGAGATCATTCCGTACGCATCAACACTTTGGCAGAATCTTGTCGTTGCTTCTCAACTCGAGGACAATAAAGCTATCGGTGCAGAATGTATTGGCAGACTTACCATCATCGACCCCAAGACTCATCTTCCTCAACTCCAGGTAAGGTCTGCTTCTTATATGTGTCTTCAACAGCTAACCAGTAATCTAGGCGTTCTTGAACGACCGCAAAGGAAGCTTACGTGCTATGGTCATTTCTGCTCTACGATATACCTTCACCGACACTGACGAAGCTTATGACGAATACCTCAAACCGATTGTCGTACCTATGCTGGTACAGATGCTTAACGAGCCGGATCTTGAGAACCGTCGTCTAGCTCTTATGACATTCAACTCTGCCATGCACAACAAACCCGACATCATTTTACCTGCGCTAGACCAGCTACTTCCACTGGCCATGAAGGAGACCGTCATCAAACCCGAGCTTATCCGTGAGGTGCAAATGGGTCCTTTCAAGCTCAAGGTCGACGATGGCCTAGAGATCCGCAAGAGCGCTTACGAGACTCTCTACGCTCTTCTTGAGAAGGCTTTTGCACGACTATCACCCATCGAGGTCTCAGACTTCTTCGACCGCATTGTCGCTGGTATCACTGACGAGCACGACATCCGAATCCTATGCAACCTTATGCTCACGAAGCTCATGGTAATCGCACCAGACCAGGTACGCTCGCGCCTGGATTCGCTTGCAGAGAATTTCCGCATTGTACTTGCCGTTAAGCCCAAGGAGAACGCAGTTAAGCAGGAGATTGAGAAGATTCACGAGGGTGCTAAGGGTGTGCTCAAAGTGTCCATTCAAATCAACAAGCAGATGGGTACCGAGGCTGGCGTAGGCCAGGACGACTCACAATTACGTGTCTGGGCACAGTACTGGGATCAGATTCAGAAAGAGCATGAGAAGGGTCTCAAGGCTGTTGCAGAGGAGCTTAAGGAACGTGATCGTTAGTGGCGAACGCCGCAAACGATCAAGACGTCTGTATCCTTCATCTACCTTGGCCAACACCACAGTGAAATCTCCCTTCCTCATGTCCTTAGTAATAGGATGGATTTGCACATGAATTTCCGATTATACTCGTGTTCGCGATTTTTAGACAGGGAAGACACTCCTGTGGGCCCGATAAAACATGAAGGAATGTTCGAATGCATGACTCGAGAAGAGGGGAAGGCATGGATTAGAAGGAAGTATTCCATAAGCGCACAGACGCAATGAATCCAAAAACATGGCATCATCGTAGCGATTCAGAGTAGGCTACATCAAGCATTGTGACGTGATGGCATACAAACAAGCCCGCTATTCATCAGTGGTACTATATGGACACTATACATTACAGCTACACACCGTCAGATATTCGGTATCAAGTTGGCGTGAAATATAGCGTAAACGTCAGGGTGTCGCATAGCTAGGGTACAGCTCTAAGAAACAAGTAATCCCTCTGGACACTGACCTGGTTGCTGAAACAATCGTAATCGCGAGGTTAGTATTATCGGCGATGGGATCGTTAAAATCATCTTTGGTCTCGTCAATATGGGTCTATGCGCGCTGTTACTTTGGAACATGACTTACCTGTAGTAGTCTGATGTTCAGGGTATAGGCTCTTTTCAATCACGTAAACTGTCCATCGCTTGAGTATATCAAAGTGCGTTGCCAGATACTCAGTGCTGTTAGTAGCCATGAAGTACGAATAAGCCCTGATTATCATGTTGGCGCTCTCTCCAACAGGCATGGCTTCTTCACCCCATTCGCCCGGTATGCTTGAGCTGAAATAGCCTATAGCATCTGGGTAAAAGCGACCAATATCATGCATGGCATATCGCTCATAGTAAAGTCCAGACTCCTGGAACTCGAAGATGGGCTTGAGCAGCAAGCGAAGAAGCTCAGGGTTTGCGTAAAGCCAAAAGGACAATGCAGGATGGATCACATCAACTGTGTTCACCTTTCCGTCTGAAATTTCTTTCTAGAAGATGGTTGCTCCCGTAGCGTTGTCTGCATATTCTGTGAGAACATTCGTAGCCAAGATCTGGCGAGTGGAAAGTGTGAGAATGGCATAGTATGACACCTCTTCCGACATAGAAGATACTTCTGTACTGTCATCTTTCGCTCTGTCCTTAGCGTAGTAGGTAGCGGCGTCATGGCGAAGTTGCATGGTCCAAACTTTGGCCTCTTTCGCAGAAGCGGTGTAGCCTTTGTAGTGTTTACTGATCATGTTGTTGATGGTGAGATAACAATTATTCGTCATTCACCATGGCTGAAGCTCGACATCCTCGATGGCGGTACGGTAGTGCACAGCAGGCTCTTGGTTCGTACCAATAGTGTATAACACCGATCCTGACTGGCTGGTCATGAAGGCATAGGAATAAGCGAACACAGGCACCCTGTCGTCTGGCCGTCGAGGCTGATCCTGATCAAAGGCACGATCCAGTACGCCATCGCGAACGAACTGCTTCCGTGTAGTGGTTGCTAATCCATTGGCGAAACTAAATTCTGTGGCATGACGAGGAGAAGAAATGTAGTGTAGCTTGCCCCAGTATGGTTCATTTCTAAGACCACGTTCAAACCATGAAACCTGATCCAGGATCTCTGCTTCCCTTCGAGCTAATCAGATACGTATCAAACATGTTCTTCTTCCAGGGAACTCACCAATGGTATAATGTTTCGGGAGTTCCCGTGGCCTTGGTTGGGCATTTGTGATCATCGAAAGACTCGCCGGGATAGTCCATACTCCATCGCATCGTTGAATTGCCACCCGCTAGCCAACTGTTATCCACACCTGAATAAAGTTGTACATCATGTGAAGTTCCATCGGTGGTGATGTACGCAACTTCCAGATAGCTGAGCGGAACACTACTCTTACAAAGATCTTGCGGCAGGATACGAGAAAAGAATCGCGCCTCGACTCTTACGGGTCCAGCGTCAAAAGTGAATTTACTGTAGCTAAAGGTACATGTGCGAAGTCAGTATATATCTTACGTGCAGCTCATACAGGAATGTTACGTACTGTGAGTCGTAAGATACGGTCAGCGGTATTGCTTCATGGAGATCGTTGACGGAAGGCGAGTCCCCCATGTGTTCGTAAGACGTTCCATCCACACGTACAATACCAGTCCATCCTATAGGTCTTCCGTTCCAAAAAGTAGCGTTTCGATTGTTAAGTGTGCTGCCACCATAAGTCGTGCTCCAGGCGCTGGTGTAAGGCGACCGAACTGCCAGAGATACGGAAGGTGGTCGTAGAGGCGAGTATATTGGACTATATATAGTGATCAATGCTTGAGTTGTAGTGACGATAACACGAACTGTGGCTGTGGCGCAATTGCATGGCTTATGCCAAGCAGGAAGAGGATGTACAAGAACATGTTCTAGGAACTTGCTTGTGAGAGGACCATAATGCTACCATGGGCGATCTATTATACTAAACCGATTCCGGTACAGAATTCTGTACTCTTGTTCAACAGTATGTAATACCTATCAGGAGATGCTCAGCGAAGCAGTCGGAATGTTACCGTGATACGGCTTCTTGCAGCAATTCGTATTTCAGACCATGATTATGGAGAACTGTGACAGGCTAAAAGCCTATCTAGGCAGGTCTTTGAGTATATCGGGTTGTTCAAATGTGAGAGGGGCAATATTGATTGGTAACGAATCACGAAGTTTTGAGGAAAAGGAGTCATTGACACGATGCATTGGGAATTGTACCAGGTTCGAGGCGCTGTACTGTTGGGGGGAGAGGGACGAGAATTGCTGGCTCAAGCGCGAGGGGTCCGGATCCGAAGCTTGGAGCGCGTCATCCGCTCCAGTCTCCTCCGAGCCCCGTCATCTCCAGCTCTGAAGAAGTCCGCCACTGCGTCTAGGTCGTCCGTCATAGTATGATTCTGACTGCAGCCCGTAATCTTCTAGGTCCGTTTAGGCAGAATATGATCCATTCCCCGAAGTAAGCACCACGTGTGACTGCCTACGGATCCACCAATCAAGCTTGCCTGACAGTACAGAGGCGTGAGACATGAAAGGGATGACTAAGTTCTTTGCGGCCTAACAGACGCACGAATCGACACTTGTAGCATAATCACCAGGGAGTATTGGACTAAGAAAAATTGGTATTTAAGAGGCTGATGATACCCAAGCATAAACCCACAGAACTTTGATATGGCTTCTAACACTGAACACCAGCCAAAACAGGTCGCTATCTTACTTGAAGGCCAAAATAAAGTCGATGTGTACGAAGCCACAGGTGGGGCAGTTACTTCTCAATTCGCAGCTCACAACTTGTCTCTCCTCCCACCCATACCCCCAACCTCGGTTATCCATGACAACGCATGTGGTGCCGGAACAGTCTCTCGCATAATTCTTTCCTCAAATGCGCCATCAGATCTAAAGATATACGCCACGGATATCGATCAAGTCTTCCTCGGCAAGCTTCGATCAGATGCAGATAGAAACTCCTGGCCGATCTATGTGTCCAACCAGAAGTCTGAGAGTCTATCGTTTCCCGACAACCACTTTACGCACTCTATCAATAACATCGGTATTTTCTTTACTACTGGTGCTGGCCTCGACGGTGCCAAAGAAATCTACCGTACACTTCAACCTGGCGGGACCGCTGTAGTAAATTGCTGGGAGGATGTCACTTGGTTACCACCCTTTGCGCTCGTACATCAAGCACTCCGTCCAGGAAACCCCTACCCAGCACCTCCCATCATCTGGAAAGACGGGCAGCAAATCCAGAAAGTGATGTTGGAAGCAGGCTTCTTGAAGCAGAATATGAGAGTCGAAAGGAGCGAGGCGTGGGCGAAGACTACCGATTTGAAAGATTGGGCAGAAAAGTCTTGGGCGTATTTGGGTAACATAGGGGGCTGGAAGGAGACGGATGGTGAGAGATGGGACGAAGCTGTCGATCTACTTGTGAAGCATATCTTGGAGCAGGAGGGCACCAAGAAGGTTGGAGATGAAGTATGGATGAGGGCTAGTCAATGGGTGGTTATCGCTCAGAAGTAAGCTTCGCTAGGGTAGTAGCATGGTATTTTCATCTGCATCGTTAAATCATGCTATGGAATATTGTCGTCTGTGGTGTTGGGGAAAGGTTGGGAACTACAGTATCCAAGCATGTACTGCAGAGCCATCATCAGATTCCATCAAATTCGATAACCTGCATTCTCTAGCATGATAGCCATTGGCGTACACCACACCCTTGACTGTACGTTTCCACAATTGGTTTCTAGAGACAACTTATAACAAAATTCCTAGCGCTGGAAATCAAGTCGAATTGTTGAAGTTGATTGTTGGGCGAGTTGGGCGGACCAGAAGGCGGTGGTGACGGCGTTGTAGGATCAGGTTTCTTCCATGGATATTAGTTCATGTTTGATTTGTATTTTCGAAAGCTGAGAACCTACCGGGCCGCGGATTGCAGGCTGTGCTTTACCAGTTGAGCTGGCTGAGTTTGGACGTGGCGGCGATGGAGGAGGAGTGGGAGGAGGAAGCGGATCTGGGTTTCTTGATAGATGTAAGAGGGACTGGTCCATGAGACACATATTCTTTATGTAATTGGTGGTTGTTGATTTAGTCGGACAGACAACGCTGTTGCTTAGGCTTTGATAGATGCTGTAGCTGTATCGTATCAAAAGATGTTATGGCTTTTATGCAAGAGGTCCTAGAGCGCATCGAGGACATTGCATATATACTTCTCTACTTGATTGAATGTATTGTGTTCGTGCATCATTGAAGTATGACAGCGTTTCGACCATCCAAGTGGTAATCCTACGGCAAGTGCAAAACGATGTCGCGATGGAGATTCTTGAATGGAGATCTCCAAGTCGCAGACGTAAGTAGTCGACCAAACAGTCGACTATCGCTCTTGGGTGTAGGCGTACATGCCAGCATAGCGACAAATGACGTTGGTTGTCAACGGGTGCGCCCTCTTCCAGGGCTGCCTATGTTTTTTTCTTTTTTCTTTTCTTTTTTTTTGATCTTTCAGCTGTTTAGTTTGTACATTCCATGAAGCTGTGTGCCATGCAATGCGGTGATGATATTTTACCACGAGGTAAGGAAGCACAATCAAGCCTCATGTTCGATGTTCATAAGCTCACCGCGATGAACAGTAAACATTAAGTATGCTACATAGATATGTACACGTGCAGTCGGACCTCGTGATAAACAAAGTAAGATCAGTCTCCCAGAGACTAAAGCCTGTCTAACGGAAAGTGGTATATCAAGCACCACCCAAAGCGACCACAAGAAGTGGTGCTTGTCTATCATTCAATACCGATACAAAAGATGATTATAAGGTGTAGCGAATGTATAGAGTAAGGGGTATAACGCAGAAGAGATGGTAAAGAAACAGCGGACTCGCCGGGTATCGGAAAGAATGAAGAGGGTGAATATTCATGCAAAAGGCCCAAAAAAACCAGATCGCTAAAGGACGTGACAAAAGAAAAGCAGAATATAAGCAAAGAAGAAGCAATAAAGGCAACGTTAGAAGTAAGCAGTTCAAGCCATCATCATGAGTCTTGTACCACGCTTCTGGAGATTTCGCGGTCTGTAATTGCCCGGGCCTAGGTTACTCCTCGGAGGAGCTGCGGCACTTTGCGCATGTCGATCACAGTATCGCCGGCCAGCGACCTCGAAGTAACCGTCGCGGAGGACGATGCGACAGGTCGTGCATGTGAAACATCTTGGATGAAACTTTTGGCTCAAGTCCGTTTCGAGATATTGGCCTTCGATGCCGCGGTTGCAGGCATTGCACAGAGATCCGTTGAGCTTGTGGTAGTGTTGTTCACAGTATGGCGAGTTCTCGAAGACATAAAACTCCGCTGTCGGAAAGGGATCGGCGCACGTTCTGCAGACAAAGCAATGCTTGTGGTAGCGTCCAGTAAGGCGACCAGAAGAATCCTTCACGGACTTTCCAACGATCGGTTCGGAGCACCCGCGGCAGTTGCCTTTGCTGGAGGCTTTGGGTCGGCGCACCTCTTGCTGCTGAGGTTCGGGATCGGCCATATGCCTCGGCGGGCTTACATTGACTTCTGCTGGGTCCTGCGGAGATACTGGGTCGAATGTGTCGCGTGGCGTCGGCGCACCCATCTGTATGGCGGGATCCATAGGCGACTCTGGATACCTTGCATATCCTCCGGGCGGAAATGTGTCCTGGCGATATCCCGGTGAGAGCGCACGTGGGTATGGCTCCGCACCATCAGGCCTCATGTAGCTTCGAGGTGCTCGAACAGGCCGTGCTTCAGCATAGGACTCTGGGCTTGCGCTTCTTTCAACACCCTCTTCAACAATGTTGTCGGGACGACTAATCTTGGAAGTTTGGCGTGAGTGCGCAGCTTCGGACTCCGGTGGGCTTGACCTCGAGCTTGCTACACTTCGGTAGCCAGAGCTGGCGTACGAATCATCCGAGAAGCCAGAGTCCGAAGGCGTGTGGAGCGCGTTCAAGGACGCATCACCAAGCCCAGAAGCTACCGGTGGCGGTGGACGTAAAGTGTGAGACGGCGCGAGGCCTCGAGGCATATCACTCTCTGAACCGCTTCGGCTTGAACCTCGAGAAGGAAACATATTGCTCGAGAGAGACATAAACTCTGGAGGTTGCAGATCAGTCATATCAGATGGTGGTAGATCTTTCTCTGACGGCCTCCTAGGCCTTGGTGGAGGTTCTCTCCTTTCTCTACTATTCTGTCGTGACGGATTTGCTCTTGCCAAGTTCTCCTGAGGTGCCTGAGAAGGCTTCGTAGATTCTCTCTGCAACCGGTCCAGGAAAGCGTCAATACCTTCGGCCTGTTCGGATGTGGTTGATAGCGGCGGCAAAGCATTGGTACCGCCCATGCCCGGCTTCGGGCGGGATGGGAGGCCTATGCTGCGGTTAGAGTATGCCGAACTTCGTGACGCATTCGAAGTGACAGATCCGCGCTGTTTCGGCATGCTCTTGTTGCTCCCGATACTATCCTGTGTACCCGTCCTCCTATGGCCAAGTGCTTGCCCATCCTCCGCAAATGGTCTTGTTGCGCTCGCTGTGCTTGGCCTTCGATCAGCCGTACCGTCAAATGGCCCTGGCGCAATGCTGTTCATACGCTTGGTCACATTTTCTCCGCCATCGAACCGTGGGCTTAGTGGTGCAAAAAGAGGGCTCGGCTGAGTATAGTTCTGTTGGTACGGCTCTAGTCGTTCTCGTGGTTGAGGTTTGGCATTTTTGGAAGCACTGTTCTTGGACGGAAATCGCGGGAAGGCAGAGTCCAAGTTGGAAGTGTAATCGGGCGATGGGGGTGCCATGGATCGCGGAACAGGGCTTGTCACACTGCGGTTCATCTTGTACGGAGACTTTGGCGGTACTAGACCTGGAGAGCGGCTTCTGGGATCACTTTTATTAGTCATCACTGATGGTTCTAGCGGTCGAAATGGCCTGTCTAGACAAATCAGCACGAAGTCTACCAGCAACAATGGTTTTCTGCTCTGCTTGCTTACTGGCTGCGTTTGAATCAATCCGTGGAGGAGGAGGCATGCGACCTGATTGCGGTACACGGTCCGATCTGTTGCTAAAAGTTGGTCCACCAAAAGTTGCTGCGCGATTGAATTTCGGCGAGACTATAGAGGGCGGAGATCCTGGAGAGACAGTTGAGGTGGGGGACATAGGCTCGGGAACCGTCGTTGCTGAGTTGATAAGCTTATGTGTATAGTAGTTTTCCGTGTTGTACTCACCCGATGGGGGTGCTGCTGCGCAAACATGGTCGGCTAAATGAAGAATATCAATGTCCACTGCGCAAGACGAACACTTGATGGTCGGAAGAGTGCTCATTCGCTCCATGTTGAGCGTGTTTGTAGAGCTGGTTCGAGGAAGAAGTCCAAGGCCGTTCGTGCCTGGACATGCAATGTAAGGCCGTTCACGTCCAGCGGTATTAATTCGTAAGGCGATATGAAGTTTGGTGACATGAAGTGGGAGCAAGTCATGCGGCAGTCTTCGAGGACGGATGATAGATGGGCGTGCCGAGAAACAAAGCTGAACAGGGTTGTTCGATCCTCAGAAACGGTGTGGGTGGGCCTTGCTGAATCAGGGGAAGCATGCGGGCATGGTTCCGAATTGGCTAGCATTCAGGGACGGCAGCGGGATAAAAGCTAGCGTCACTGCATCCTGCGGTTTAAGAGGCTGTTTAGCCCCACAATCGACACGCGCAATGTTGGGTATTTGATGCTAATGAATTATGATCAAGAGAGCGGTTATGACCGTGTCTGGGCGTTGGCCACACACAGCTCGCATCGCACAACAAGGCTGATCGGCAATTAGACACAAAGGCCCAATAGCGAGAGGCAAAGCGCACAAATCACTTTCTTTGTGTGTACCCTTCACGTAACTCGCGCGTCCCTGAAAATTGGCACGAGACGTCGTGCGAGTTGGTTTCCATGATTCGACAGGCGTGCGCACGGAGCGACGGCTTGTACCTGGGCAAATCGTGTGGTTTCCTCTGTTCCAGCGGCGGCGACTTGCGATGAAACCATAGTAAGCGACGGAGAGTCTCGGACGCAACATCATCGCCGATACACGATGTCACGCCTGCGGACCGAAGTCAACAGAGTTCACAAGCTTAAGGAGGTCGCAAATCGCGGCAGCGACGCTGCCAGAACAGTAAAGCCAAGTCCTGCAACAGCGAGCAGGCGGCTGGAGGCTCTGATCGCCTGCTGCCCATGCGTTATCAAGCCACCAGGGCCGGACATTACTCTTCGGCGTGATTGGCCATATACGACGTCGTTCTCGCTGGTCGATCTACGTTGCATGTAGCAATTATCCATGGCTTAAGCGCCCCTTTCGCTACGTCAACAGTTTCTCGTTCATGATCTTTTCATGTTGGTGTGGACCACGAGACAAAATGCTTGATCTGTTGTAAGAGCCAGAAGTTTCAACCAGTTGAAGGCATACCGTTGCGCCAACTGCTGCCCCTGGAGGATGTCACTCTCCCTGCCCGCTCTGCATGTGCTGACATGGTTCCCATGGCGAACTGCGAGGCTGATTGGCG